GCTATCATATATATTTTTCTCAAAAATAGTACATTTTCTGCAATTTCAACGATTTTTTTGCGTAAAACTTAGCCTCAAAGATGTTGTGCTCTAAAAGGTCAACGAGGAAGGTTGTAGTAGGTGACATCTACGAGATAATAAATTACTTACAATACTGACGTAAGTATTTAACATTCCCAACAACGTTGTTGCTTGTGTCCAAATTTCATTGCAATATGTTGTTTTTCTTTTATTAAAAGATGTGGTTGAAATATGATTAGAAATAATATAAACGGTGGGCTAAAAGTACCGGAATGGTAGGATATCTGAGAATATTCAAAGGGTAGGGTAAGAGTAAAACACTAGGGGTTTAGGATATTTTCCTGGCTATCCGATGATGACCTTGAACTTGATCTGAACCATGACCTTCAAGGTCATAGTAAGTTCACGATTTTAATAATAATTATTATTTCAAATGGGACCCCATAATTTTAACCCCGGGAAATGGAGAAAGTAGAAAATTTTACGTTAGGATATGACCTTGAAATGACCATGAAGGTCAATATCAAGGTCAAATACCAAAAAGTCCCGGATAGTACCGGAATGGCAGAATAACCTGCCAGGAAATATGTTCTCTACAGTAATTCCAGGACTCTTGATGGGCACTAAACCGGTGACCCTGGATTTGACCTACGTCTTGACCTTAGATCCCGGTCATTTCAAGGTCAAGTTGGTTTTTCCGTTACCCTCGATGACTACTATTGACCACCCAAGACCGTCTATTACCCTCGGTGACCACTAGTAACTAACAGTGGTCAACTGTTGCCTTTAGTGACCTCTAATAACCGACCGTGGCCGTACTTGACCTTGAAATAACCGGAGGATAATAAGGAGTTTGAGGTCAGGGTTGAGGTCAAATCCTAGGTCACCGGTTTAGTGCCCATCAAGAATGCTAGAACTATTGTGAAGAAAATTGGGACTTTTTGATATTTAACCCTGATCTTGACCATCATGGTCATTTCAAGGTTATATCCCAATGTAAAATTTTCAACTCTCAATTTCCGAGGTCATAATTGTGGGGTTCCAATTAAAAAAATTTAGATGACCTTGATATGACCCTGGAGGTCATGGTCCAGGTCAAATTCAAGGTCACCATCAGATAGCCAGAGAAAAATTCTAATCCTCTAGTGCTTTATTTTTACCCTACCCCTTGAATATTCCCAGATATCCTGCCATTCCGATACTTTTGGCCCACCCTGTATATTCACCGTTCATAGGAAAAAGTCGCCTTACTTTGTGATGCTCTATCAGCTCCTGAAATTATGGCATCGTTTTTCAACATACTCTTTACAGTAAAAATACTTATTTTAAACCAAAGTGTGGCGTAACTGTTAACTCCAAACCGTGAAATAAATTTATTTAGAAAAGTCATATATTTTCTTGATCTTCTGTTGAAGAGGATCTTCGACGTATCTTTCAGCTACTATGTTGCTTTTTAATCTCCAGAACGCTTCAAAGTAATAATGTCTGAGTCATAGCCTGCTAATCTGCGAAAATAATGATCGATATATGTTTCAGGACTTTATAATTTCGGGAATCTGCCAGCATTTGTAAGTATTTTTCCCAGTGTTAACGCCTACATTTTCCCTACAAAAATTAGTATTTTCGATATAGCTCTATAGGGCTAATGCCAAAACAATCACTCAAAATCATGAAAGACCGTTCCTGGTGAGTTTTTCTGAAAGGGGAATGAATTAGTAGTATATCATTTTTTTCTTCTATATCCTCTATTTACATCTTCACTGGTTCATCAATTCTGCACAAATCAGCAACAGCAAAAACAGCAACCACAAATATAAAGAAATAATTTATCAAAACAACTAAGAATAAGTAAAAAAAAACGTACCTTTATCATATGGTGCTTCTACAAGAAATTTGTTTTTGATTTCATCTCTTGCAAAACTTCAACGATTTGCTGGCTATGTATCCAAAGTGCTTCTGTTTTGATAAAAGCAGTCCATTTGTGATATTGTTTAATATCTTCATTTTCGTAGATGTTCAGCGTAGATTTGAGTATTCAATAACGAATTTTCCTTGTCGTAAATGTTTTTAAATTTTGGCGGAAGTAATACCAAAAATGCAGCTTTGTTTCTAGCCGAAAATTTTCAGGTAAAAATTCCATTACTTTCTATACGTGCATCAAATTGTCTATCAACAACTATCTACGACGATCGATATTGACAACCAATTGCTTGCTTGACTTTTTAAAATATCTCTTGAAGTTTGTTTTTCGTTAAAAAAAACTGTGATTATTGAACAAGACGTCGCCGTCGTATACCACACGTGAGTGTGAAATGCCCTTATAAGGCAAACTCACACAAACGCTCATCACTAACTTATTACCGGTTATTTCACTTGTAATATAATTTACTATATTCACATTTTAAACTAACCACATTTTCAGAGATTGCATCATAACAACCATCGTCAACTGTTTCACAAGTTTTTTCTCTGGCTTTGTAATATTCACTTATTTGGGATACATGTCCCATAAACAAGGGGTCCATATTAGTGCGGTAGCTACAGAGGGTAAGAAATCTACAGCACTTTTGCAGTTCTAGTATTTCAAATGTTATCCGAAAATTTTAGGACCTGGGCTTGTATTTCAAGTATATCCTGAAGCAGTAGCCACTTTGCCAGGATCCCATTTATGGTCGGTTCTGTTCTTTTTTATGTTGATTATGTTAGGATTGGATTCAGCGGTGAGTACATGTATCAGATGTTCGCCTATTTTAAGGCCTACATGAAAAATCCAACTCAATATAAATTACTAAAGCACAGCACTAACTAATTTTTTTTCATGTATTTTCTAGATGGGTGGATTGGAATGCGTGATAACAGGACTGATGGATGAATTTTCAAATTTTTTCAAGGGCAAGAGATACGCCAGGGAGATTTTCACTTTAGGGATTATAATTATGTCTTTTTCTGTAGCTCTGATAAATGTCACACCTGTAAGTATGTCTGTTTTTTGAAAATTTTAAAATGACATTAACATTTTTAGGGCGGTATCTACATGTTCCACCTTTTTGATACTTACTCCGCTGGAATTTCACTCCTTTGCTCTGCACTTTTTGAGGCTGTGGCTGTGTCCTGGTTTTATGGTAATCATTTTAATAGAACACATGTTGTCTTCCATTGATTGTAAATGTATTTTACTAATTAAAATACCAAACGGTTCATCTATTGAATCATTTAATATAATTACTAATTTCAGTGGTTGATAGAAACACTAGTTTAAGTTATTATTCGTACAAATCCAATCCCTGCATAAGATTGCTATATAAGCAGACGTAATTCGAAAAGGTAAAACACACGAGTTGACGAATTTGCACGCTCCTATTCAACTCGAAAGAGATTGAAGGCAAAATAAACACTTAAGGATCCCACAAGACCCTTTGAAGTATTTCGCAATCTAAAAGTGCTCGGAACTAACGCAAGTGTCTAGCGGTAGGACAAACTGTTAGAAGTTTAACAAATTATACCAAATAGTCGTGAGACTTTAAGAGGTTAATGTTTAATGTACGGTGTGTATAAAATAAGTTACCAATTTAAACAGGACATAGGAAATGTATAAAAAACAATAATAGGGTGGTGAAAGTTTACTTCCAAAAATAGAACAAGCAGATGGTGAAACTCAGTAGTCCTTAGATTATTATCGATTATCGATCATTCACAGCGAAAGATCCAGGAAGATAATTGAGGATTTCTTTATCTAAATAAATTTATGTGTATTATTTTCTGTAAAATGATACGGGTACACAAAAAAATGGTATATTGCACGAATACCACCGTATGTATTTGGACTTCAGAATGGGAAATGCTGTATGCTCATTCAGAAGAAACCCATCAAAGGTAAAAAAGCCGACTCTGGAGATTCTGGGAATTGACGTTTCTGGTATTCATCGGAATCTGCAGGATTACAGTAATGACTTTATTTTCGAAAGTCTAGGTGTGATATTGGGTGAATGGATAAGTACTGTGAGTAGTGAGCAGTGTTTGTGGGTTAGGAATTTAGGTTAATTTTCTCCTTTTGTCTGTTATGTAGAGTGCGTGAATCTCACTATCTCTGAGCTAGTCTGGAGGTTTAAGTTTGTGATATAATTTCCCCAGAATGCAGAATTTTAGCTTACTTTTAGGTTTTTTGCATTTTTCATGCAAGGTTCCGTTTTTGGAGTTCCAAAGAGTGTTCCAAAGGTATGACATGACTTTCGTTAGTGGAGAAGATCACTTCTTTGTGTGCTTGTAGAATTATTGTGGATACAGATTCGCTAATTATTGTGGATACAGATTCGCTAAGTCAAAAAGTAATATAGAAGTTAGTAATAAAGTTGGTGGAATCATTTAATGGCATACATTCATTGAAGCTTAGAAGATAATGAAAAATAAAGCGTGCTGTGCTGGGAAATATTTTAGAGCATACGAGTATGTCATACTGAGATGGACCTCTATTTTCAGTGAGACTTTCAACTGAGCCTTTTTTTTAGCACTAATTGCTTTTTAGACACTTCGACTATGGTTACCCTTGTAGCACTGTCTTTTAGGCTCTGCCTTGCCTGAGTACTTTGTAGATCTCTTCAAAGAACCTAGTTTTTATCCCTTGGGATGTTCGTTGCAGTCACAAAAATTCCTAAGCTGGTGTGACTCTGGATTTAAGAGCTCGCAAACTTTTCAACAATGTTTTTAAAGTTTGTTTGTTGAAAATATATTAACAATGAATAAGTCTAAAATTTTCAAAGGGGTCTGTATCATGCAAAAAGCTTGAAAGCTTAAAGTCGTAATGAGTACTGGTTATGTATTCTTCCTATTTAGTTAGTTTATCCCTAAGGATCTTCGTGGAAGTCTCGAAAAGTCTAGAGACGGTTGTTGATTCGAAAGGCAACAAATACGCTTGATTTTATGTCGTATATTTACATTGGCCGGGAACTTCGAACTAATTAATTACAAGATACCAAAGTAGACGTTCGATCACACTTCACGCTAGTTCCGCTAGGGTACTGCAGGGACCTCCGCCTTAAGATTTTATTTTTGTTCTCTCTCTTAAGTTGTACTCGTTTTACACCGGTGTTTGGGCTTGTCGTTCGATGTGGTGGTGTATCTTTATGATACTCGTCCTCAGTTCGAATTTCGATGTATTTGTGAAACTTTTTTCCAAAATTCGTAACCGAGTTGGTTTTTATCAGTGTATTGCTTGCTGTAGGTGCCGTTTATTATGGCTTTAGTCGTTGGGAACGATTAGGAACTTCGAGGACAGTTTTATCGAAAATTTTCGAAACCTTATCGAAAATTTCGATTTTCGCTCTGCATTTTCGGCGTCATAGGGATGGTCAACTAGATGCTCTCAAGCATCGGCAACTACTTTTAATGGGTTGTTTCTTACGCAAATTACATGCAAACGGCTTTGAAGTTCAGATTCGAATTGTGTGAAATTCGAAATTGTTGGAACTTGGTGTATGACATTACGTTACGAAAAATTATGTTTCATACTCAAATTGTTTTTTTAGATAGATTATTAATGATTAGAATAACAGCACGTCTACACAGGTTTTTAATATAATCTTTATTTTGCCAAAAAGAAACGTTTAGAAGTTAATAAAAATAATTATTTATGACCATATATATATATATATATATATATATATCATTCTATATTTTTTTTATTGAGCACTCAAGTCTGTAGAAAACTTTTTGCCAAAAAATATATTTTCTATCTCCTGTGCTTTATACTTTAGAACACTTTGTATACTGTTCCTAAAATACACGTCGAAACAGTATTTAATTCCTTGCAACTTTTTTTCAAATATTTACATAAAATTTAATATTTCAGGTTTAGACAGGTTTTCACAAGATGTAGAGGCTATGATAGGCTTAAGACCAGGATTATACTGGAGGATCTGTTGGAAGTTTATCAGTCCTAGTTTTATTATTGTAAGTACTGATTGTTGAAACTTTTATAACTAACACGAAATGTCACTAATGACAAAGTGTATTTCTCAAAATATCACATAAAAATATTTAAACATCATGTTATTTCCTACTTTCAGTGTGTTGTAATGTTTGGGCTTTTCTACCACGAACCCTTGAAGTACAATGACTACTTTTATCCAGGCTGGGCTGAATGGGTGGGTTGGTCTCTTGCCCTGTCTTCCATTTTGATGATTCCGTTGGTGGCCATCATACAAATTGTCAAAATAAAAGGCACTTGTAAAGAGGTAAATCCAAAATGAATGAATTAATTACATTAATGTATTAATTACAATAATTAACTAATTAATTAGTGACTTAGGTACAAGAAACATTTTGTGGCACTTTTGATTTCCTTCTGTTTACATTTTATAGAAGCTGGCACTGAGCATTTCGCCTGTGGAAGAGCACGAGGAAATAAGGAGGAGCAAGCTCACCAGCAGGTTTAAAGCAAAACACTGGTTGTACGTTTAAGTACTTAAACATTTAAGTAATTAGATAATTTGTCTACATTGCGCTGGTCGCGATTGTATCTTACGAAAATGGTAACTTGGAAGCCATTACAGTTTTCTGCTTTAGATTAAAGCAATTCCTAGTATTTATCAAAGTTTATAATGTGCCAAATAAAACTAGTGACCGTAGTTAGCAAATTATACGAATGGCAATCAGAAGCATAATTAAAATTGAACACTGTGCATCTTTGCCTAGAGATTTAAAAATATGAGATTATATTTATAAATGACATTATACTGTTGTGATTAATTTTTGAGAAAAGAAATTGTAGATACTTTTTTGATATGTTGTACAAACTGAAATCTGTGGGAACACTTGCATTGACATAACAAAAGTTATGAAGTTAAATAGAAATTATTTGTAATTTTTAGATATCTATTTACGGTTAATGTGATTACATTTAATAGTAAATTCGTGTGATAAAATAGATTATACTAATAACTGTTTGTACTACGTCTTATAATACTAAAAGTTCAAAAAGTGAAACGTAAATGTATGTTCGTAGATGTAAATCATTTAGCTGTTATGTATAATTTTCTGTGTAACTATTTTTATATCTTTTATTGGAAGAGTCTTGACAAATATGGTCTCTGACGATGAATCATAACACAGTCCCACAACCAATAAAAGTCTGTTCCAAAGATTAGACCCATGTAGCCTTATGTATTTTAACGCGTTGATCCTCCACTTTTTTAAAATAGCGAAAAATCGCCCATAAATGCAGAAAATTTTATTTTTCAAAACTAGAGCAAGGCCAACTTCATCTTTCATGCCTGCTTCTTATATCTATGGCATATTAGAGACATAAAGAATCACTATGAATAGAAAGTATGGTCAAAAAGAACAGATTTCCATTCTTCAGATTCTTCAAATATTCTGCTTCCACCTCTCCATATTAAGCTTGGTCTCATGAAATAGTTCTTTAAAGCTGTAAACAAGGAAATTTCGGAGAGAAATTTCTGGAAATAAGTGAAGGTATTTTGGGTGGTCCTCAAATCCGTACAGAGACGAATAATTTGTCACAGAAATGAATGATACTGAAAGCAGCCTAGCTAAGTTTCAAGAAGAATTTCTTGGGGAATCGGAAGAGTGAGGAATACCAGAACTAACTTGAAGAATTGTTGGAAAACTTGAAACAGTTGACTGATGAACTTGAAATTACATTTAATAGACAATCATCTTGACTACTTTCCGAAGAACCACGAAGACTACAGCGAAGAACAGGATGAAAGGTTTCACCATGATATCAAGGAAATAAATTCTGCATTCGGATTCGGATTCAACGTATCAAAATACATTTTGAGTTTCTATAATTATACCTAATTCTGATTTCTCCAAAGCGAGTTTTTCGGTATTTTCTGTATTTAAAGCCAATTCTTCTAGATTTAAAAGAAAATGGAGTGTGATTCTGCAATGGATTCGGATTCAGTGCGTCAAAATACATGAGAATATATAGATCTAATTTTTGGAATAGGAAACTTTCCTTTTTTTTGTGGGAGTGTAAAACTAATTAAGGTGGTGACTAGAATTAATTACTTGTGGCATTTGTTGTTACTTTTTTTATTTAATCTCTTCTATCATACTGCAAAGAGAAAAAGTTTAAATAAATAACTCCTTGAGCCAAAAGAATCGGTCAAGGGGTTGATTTTATAAATGTATGTATTTTGCTTTTAGATCATTCTCATCGATTACACAATAAACAATAATTACTAGGGTCTCAGAATGCTTTTTACGTTCATGTCACGTTAGTATACTGTTGCATCTGTTACATGTGTCACAGTATTTATTTGTACTCGACAAGAATTATCTACTTTCTTAGTGTGGCATATTTTTGGTTAGGTGGAACTAAATTTATTTGACATTCTATTGACTCAAATAATTATTTATAAAAAAATCAGTGTGACAAAAACGTCCATGTAATTAAAAATAGTAATAATTGCCTACATTACTAAACATTATCTGCCAATTTATTATTGCTAAAAAAAACTTCCACTACAATTCATCGAACGTTTTTTGATTGGCCTTATTTTCAATAGCATGCATGTCAGAGATATGTCAGAATAATTTTTGTGTGATTCGTCGCTTTTCTTGTCTGTCTAAAATTAATATTAGAGAAAACATGTAATGTACGTACCTAGTACAATAAGTATCGTCCAACAAATTTATGTATTTTGTCTTCAATGTGTAAATAAATATATAGAGCAGATCTTCAAAATATTGAACAAATGCCTTCATGTTCAAATATTTTGAACTGCAACTGTTGTAATGTTAGTGAGACCATTTTTAAAGGCTTAAAGGCATGTATCAAATAAACATGTGCTTCTAAAAAATAATAAATCGTAAAAAAACACGTTTGAGAAATTCATTTATTTCCTAAAAAAATCACAAAGAGTTACATATTAATCTACTCTACCATTTTAATATATAACATTTAACAATAGTTTACATTTCATCTTCTACATGTTTAATTTTGAAAATATTTAATATCACAACCATTTTCAACATACCTACTGAAATTTTTAAAATAATAATTACACCAAAACATGATTTCATCTAATCTTTATTTATTTTTAATATTATAATACAGTAATGTTTCCACCCATTTCAATTTGTTATACCTACATTGTGTGCGTTTTTCATTAGAATATGGAAAGATTAAATGATTTAAAGAAGACAGACAATAATCATGATTGTATGTACTTTTCAGTTCATAATAAATATAAATATCAATTAGTGGGAGTAATATTAAAATAAACTATATATTTGAACAATGAAAGCTAATATAAAAAGATAGTTATAATTAATTGTGTCCCAAACTAAGACTAGGCCAATTTTCTGGAAAACAAAGTTTCTTTTATTCAGTAAAATAAAAATTGTATTATTCATACTCAAGTAGACAATTTGTGTATAAGAAAAAATTATATAAATATTTTTCATTTGCATTGCATTTAAAATAATATCGTTGCTACACAATTCTTAGTATCACATCAAATAAACACGAATCCAGTTTTAACAATAACGTTATAAACTCTATAAAGAAATCACTTTTTGTATAATCTTCCAATAAATCGGTTGAAATGAACCTTACAATCTTAACACTTTGTTCTTTGATTATTATTTTAATTCTACTTTGTAATTTTCTGAGGTATTTTAAATATCGAGAGAACAGAAAAATGTTTAATTCTGTAACTGAATTATTAACTGATTAAATACACATTTTGAATTACAAGGCATTCTAGTACTAACTACAAAGATTAGATCATCGGTGTAACAAAAATATTTTTTTTTCTATCTAAAGTAATTTCATTTTTGAAAATTTATAGAAATTCATGAAATTATTTGTTTCTCTGGAACACCTTGTACAATTTTAAAAATCAACAATTACAATACAAAACTAACAAGATTAAAATCGATATAAAATAATCACTAAACGTGTTTAAAAACATACATATATATAATTAAATTTGCGTACCATTTTTGTAAACAATTTCAATTTTAAAAATTTACAAAATTCGAGGCTCTGTAGAAGTGATATTGGAATGGTTTATGTATATAATAAAAAATTACAAATTTTTACCAAAGACATTGTAACTTTCACAGAGTCAGTACCATTTTATACGTTTAGATTTTACTTTATCTACAGAATCAACGTTAAAAATTAAAATGGAGTAGGATTTTTGAGATATTTCAATATTTTCCTTCTACGAAGAGAAATGTTTGATTGATGATTTTGTATTTTCTTCAGAATTACGATTTCGAAGACAAACTATGCACATTTGCAATATACCTACTTACTTTAATACAAAATGGTTTGTGATATTTTTCTAATGTATATGACATGATGACTATAAAATAACGACGATATTGGTTACTTTAAAAATTTATGTAACAGGAATAATAAAATATAAACAATATAGAGAATGATTAATATGTAAATATGAGTATTATGTTTTTGTCGCAATCAGTACTAATATTTAGCTGAAGTTATGGTTGTAAGAAAAGTATTCTCAAATTCCTGAAATCTTTACTTAATACAAGGGGTCGAAACCTTTATTAACGATCAAATATTATCAAATCAAAAATAAAACGGACAAAATATATAAAAGAAAAACAGTTAACGCAATGAAATAGGTTTTAGTTAATATTAACAAAGAATAAATTCCATTGTATGTTGATTTTACTTTATACGAATACTGAGTGATTATGAAATATGTAATATATGTGTTATACGTATGTGAATTCCAATATATGACTAGTAGCAAACGCTGTAGAAATCTCGTTTGAACATACAAAAACGTATAAAATGGTGAACTAAAGTTAGAACAATTACTACTTAGTTTTGGTCACTTTTTTTGGTTTACCGCTAGTTTATCACAAAAACGCATTTACGATACGTTTTTTCACAACAATTTACGATATAAACAGTCTTTTAATATTACAAGATAGAGCTCACATCCTCCTTTTTGTCGTCCTTGTCCTTCTTCTTCGATTTCTTCCTTCTCTTCGAATCCCTGGTTTTGGGCGACCTCTCCAACAAAAAGAGGGCTTCGTGGAAGTCATCTGAACTAAGGTTGGACTCCTGCACGTGAAGAACCGAACTCAGAGCGCCATCTGTGGAGGATTTTGGAAACCTGAAACGAACAAGTCCAATACGTCACATTTTTATAATGTGTTTCTCAAAACAGTTACCTAAACATCTCTCGTTCTCGTTCGGGTTCACTAGCACTCTTGGACTTGCCATTTTCTTTGGTAGACCTGGAAGGGCTGCTGCTCGGCGTGTGGATGTTGGATCTGGATGTGACCGGCGTAGTGGAGCGCACCAGCGAGGGGGTGAAGGGTTCAGCAGGAAGAGAATTGGAATTGTTGAGGCTGGTACTGGAGATGCTCAGAGAACACGAGTTTAGAGGCACGGGAACGCTTAGACTAGAAGAGCGCGATTGCCTTCCGCCCTGGATGAGGCTCATGCCCGGCGATTTGGGTTCTGGGGTGCGCGATATGGAGACGCCCGAGATGAAGAGAGTGGGAGATTTAGGTATGCCCGTCTCGCTCTCGTACTCGTTGGAGCTGTCAGTCTCCAAAGGGTGGCCGTTCTTGCACTTGTTTGGGCTCTTGCAGATTTTTATCCTCAGGTTTGAGGAAAAACCTGTAACAGAATTAGAGTTATCGAAATCAACAAGATCGAATTTCATTAAAAACTGATCGAAAATGTAGGAGGGTTTGGTTTTGCAAAAGGACTAACAACAAATCATAAGTCATTCCATGTAGAATAATAAATGTGTCGTCTCTTGAATCGGTGGATAGTTCAGGAACTGCACAAGGATCCATCCTTGTGCACACTTCTCTTTTCAACTTTTGTTAACGATATTTGTATTCATACAGATTCGACTAATTACTATTTGCATATGACTTTAGAGAAAGTAGTTTTTACGAAATTTGAAAAAGTTCATATTTCATTTCTTTAGAGTTTCATTATAACATTAATGATGTCGCAGGTCTGTCATTAAAAAGGACATTCGCTACATTAGCATTATTAGTTGATGTTAATACGTGAGGCTACTAAAATATTAACTTCCTTAATTAGAATTAGGAACTACAATATTACCATTTGGAGTTTATATCAAGAGATGACGAAATGACTAGGACTTTTCAATTCTCATCTAATATTTAGAAAAAATGTGCTGCTCCAAAACACACTTGATCTCGCTCTCCATCATCTCTTGAGTGCCCTTTACGAAAAAACTTTTTGGTGCAGTATTTGAACTACTTTGCAGTGCTTTAATCCAAACAAACGAGAATGTTATGACAACAAATTCGAACAGTACAATAAATAAAGCAATATGTCAAATTTGAGAGTGTGTAGCAGTTTGGTGTTTGAGCATTGTTGTGAGACAACCATATTCTTTTCAAACGCATTTCTATCGTATCGACAGCTTCAGCTTGATCACTGATGTGTCACTGTAGGTCACACACCTTATTTTTTAACTATATGGTATTTCACCTTATTCTTTAACTATATGGTCAGTGTAACTTTCAAAACAAAGAAGTAAATTTTGATTTTTGGTACCATCACGAAATTTGATGTAATAAATGCCTTCACCCCAATAATTAATTAATGAATTTTACGTATGAAAAAAATAATAAAGGCAGTACAACGATAGTTAAATATCAAATGCTTAAGCTGTTCTGTAATGAGAAAGTTCGTGGACAGGTGAACTACGTGAGTTGCGCAGAAAGAGGTACATTGATGTGAATAAGCGCTCATATAACGACGTTATTAAACAAGTGCCTTCCATTGATGGAGATACAAGTACTAGTTAAAAGATAACAGTTTTCACTATACAAAGATACATTTATACCTTTGCAAGCCCTCCTCTGTTCTTCCAATAAAAACCCTGTCGACTTCGAGAAACTATTCCTTTTGCTGCTCGCCCTTTGGTGCTTCTTAGGGCTGTGCTTCTCGCTCTTGCATTCGCTTCCAATAACGAACTTTTTAACTACGCTACTTCGAGCCCCTTCAGATCCTTCCGTTTGTCTGCTTGTTCCCTCGCAACACTTCTTGTCGCTATTCTCACAGCACTTTTTATTTCTGCCCTCGCTTAATAGACCTATACTCTTATTTACTGCTATTCTCGTTAGATAACTAGTCTTTGGTAAATGCGCTGAACACAGTTTCGCTTTCAAGGTGGCAAATGGATTATGGGTTTGCTTCTTGCATTCAGCAACTTTGGCTATTTGATCAGTCTTTTTGATTTCCTCGTCGTAGCTTCTGCCTGGAATGTTTAAAATTATGATATTGTCATCTTTATTAATATTTTATATTACCTAAGTCTTCGTCTGTAACCGAACTAAGTATTCCGCAGACTTCCATATCTGCGTTCATAGAATCGGACGTGGTGGTGTCTTCCACTGAACTTTGGCCTTGGTAAGACTCCTCCTCGGGATATGACGTGTGTAGCAAAAGAAACTGTTTTGTGCGAACAGAGGTCGAGGGCAGTGAAAGAAGTCTTCTCACCATATCTTCGGGTTTATCATCGTGCTGGCTGCTATGATCCGAATCCAGATGGTAACGGGGTTCATCACCTCCATTCATCCTTATTCTGGTACCGCGACCATTTCTACGAACACACAGATCACCTGTGGAATGGGAACGCTTCAAGCGGATGTCTGTGTCATCGTAGTCATCTGTGTCTTCAAAGGCGAATCCTGCAACGACAAAAAACAAGGTATTTACGTGTAAAGTCATGTGACTTTATTGTTTACCGTTCTCGTGGATATCAGAGATCTGGAATCTTCCATCTTCGTTGCCCTTACAGGGCCTAAAGAACAGCTCCTTGTCTGCTTCAGAACCAAATTTGTCCAATGATTTCAAATCGATCTTGTGATTGGCTAGAGACTTCAGGAAATAATCCACTGTAATATCGGCATTCGTTCGCTGATAACTCGATAACCCTTGATTTTCCTCGCTATGTTTTCCCATGGCAGCGGAAGACTCTTGCAAGCTCAGCTGGATCGCCAATTTCAGCTGTTCGTCAGCACTTTCATTGCTGTTGTTGGAAATGCTGGAACCAGGATCTGGTGTAATGACGTTCGCTTGAGCCTGCTTCATTCTGTCTTCTATCATTTGAAGTCGAGACATCTCCAAAGCGATAATGAGTTCCATACTGTAGTCTGACCCTGAAAATATATGATGTTTATAATTTTCATAATTCCTTTAAACAAAATGTAGAAAAATGGTAATTCTTTATACTTACGCCCACAACTTCTGTTGCATAACAGTCCACACTGATGCTCCTTTGTGGGTGATCCACGACTGTAAGGAAAGCTTTTGTGCGTTACACTTAAATCAGTTTCTTCATCTGTGTCATACTCAGGCCATTCACAGTCTTTCAGCCACGCGCTGGTTTGAGTGAGGTCAGACTGCAACAATAGGGTTTTTATGAAGATAATAGAAAATAGAATAATCTTGAATTCCAATTTGAACGGTTTATACAATAACATGGTTAGATTAAGACATATAATATAGTATATGTTTGCTCTTACATCTAAGTATCTTTTTTTCCTCTTCCTCTGCATTGGTGGAGTCTCGGGAGGTATTAGCCCCTGAGCGACAGCTCTGACAAACTCATGCCTTTTTCTTCTAGCTAAAGCAGTTGTTTGTACTATCACAGCTTTTGGTGTGCGCAAGTATGGCCTAGCTATCATCTCGCTGAGCTTTTCAGTCACTTCTTCTAGTTCATTCTATATAAATATGATTACATTTTACAAATATATGCAAACTGGTATTAAACGAAAAGCGTACGCTTTCCGTTACTGTTTTTAAGCAAGATATTTTCATTAAAAGCAAATTTATACAAAGCTCTTAATGGAAATATATGAAAAGACGTTTTAAACAACAGCGGTAGTAGTTATATTTATCTTTGCAGCAAATTATTAATTCCGGGAAATTGAAACGTAATTTCAGACGTAAATGAAATTAAAACGCTGCGAATCAACGAACCTGCATAAATTCGAATATTGTTTTGTTGTAACCATCGTCCTCGAGGTAATATCCATAAACGTAAGAGCCGCATAGCACTCGTCTCGCTTTGAGCAATTCCCTGACTCCGTCTTCTATAAATTTAGTGTTTTTCTCTCCAGCATCTGAGAAATTAATGTAAAATTTTCTACGTTAGCTGTTTAAATAAAATCAAACAAAACAGAAACGGCTGAATATTAGAGAATGTATGTATGAATTGCAAACACTTAGTATTTAAGTTTATTTAGATTATAGTTTTATGTTAGTTAAATACGATGATGTATATTGCGTAATTAAATTAAGGTACACAAAATGTGCTATCATATAATCATGTAATCATAAAATTGATAATTGCTTGTAATCCAAATTAGTACAAATTACTTCATGCATTTGTAACTTACGGGAAGTTTAAATTGAAATTAAAGAAATTGCACTTAGAAATTCGATACTAATGAACTATTTAATATGACATAAGATTCAATAGCACTACCTATTAATAAATAAGATCTCAGCTCAATATATAGCACTAGTGACGAGCTGTTAGCATAACCAAACCCCTTTTCAAAATAATAATATTACGTCTTTATCCAAAATTACATTGTATATGAAGAAAAAATATCATGTATGTTCGTTTCTTTTGCAAATTATAATTTTTTAATAAAAATTACTTACTGCATTGTTTTATTATAACAAAGCTATTAATTAATTATTAACCGACAGCTATCCACTAGATATTGCTGGTATAATTCAATGCTACTTGAGACATGTAGCCCATAGAGTTGTTATATTTCCTGCAATATCGTCGGTTAAGAATTTTATCTGCTCCCACTATATTAAATTAACTATTAATACATTGTTTTTAAGGGGGTAAGTAGATTTTACCGTAGAAGTGGAAGTTGCTATGATGTATGTAAGCGATGTAACTTACCTCCCCAGAGAAAAAAGCGATTTCAAGTTATAAATGCATATTTCAGGAACAAATAAATAGAAATATTTGATGAATATTACATTTTATTAATTATGATGAATGAATATGTAATTGTACAGTTATTACATTTAGTAACATTTACAAAATCTGGATGATTATTCCCCTCGCGTTTATTAATTGTCACATTTTTCTCAAAATGATTAGACCGCTTAATTTCAGTCACCGGAGGCTCAATATTATTTGATTGATCCGTTAAAACAGCATGATGCGATGTACTAGTAGAACCTGGTGTCATTGTAAAGAATCCTGTTGGCTATTTCATTTTTGTTACTTAAACTATCAGCAACATAACTTTCTGCAATTGTGGCTGATTTCCACCCACCATGTCTCTTGATTGCTAATACATCAACTCCTGTATTAGCCAGTAACGTTGCCGATTTTCTTCGTAATGAATTGCCTGTATATGTTTCAGGATGTTCTAGTTTCAAAAACTGTGCAATCTTATTAGGAATCATAGGAAGGGTATTCTTGCCGACTGGTTGGTTGTAACATCTATCTGATTGATAGCGCATAAAAAAGCGTGAAACTTCTGTTTTAATTCCCAATCTAATGTTGATATATTTCTTGAGAATTTGTAGGTGAAAAACAGAACCCAGACGAGAAGTGATTGTAAATGTACGTGACATACCATTTTTAGAATCTGGAATTGTAACTACAATAATGTCATCGAAATTTTGTAAATTGACGTTCAAAGTAAGTTTGCATAACTCATCAGAACGGCATGCTCATGCACTGCCTAAGACCGTCACTACCTTCAATAGCAAATATGTGTTATCGGGTGCCTGAACGAGAAAATCGTTGACTTGTTCTCTTGTAAAAACGTTTGGGTCTTTAGATGTATAGCCGTCATTCTTACGTTTCAAAAATGCTATCTGCTTGGAGTATTTTGATATATCCACGTTCTCCTCTATGAAAATAGTTTGTAATTATTGAGTATTCACTCCACAAACTCGCCGGTGACTTTAAAGTTCTTGACTTCGCCATGAACTATGCTAGCAGTGACATTTCAGAAACACCAGTATTTTTATTCTGGCACCATTCTTTGAAATTTCTATATGTTCGTCCGTAGCGTACTTTCGACTTCTCGGGTAATAAAAATTCACAGGCAGCATTTGCTGCTCTTTCTATTTGAAAATCACTCATTTTAAAATAACTCAAAACCAGCAAAATTGCAACTTTTATGTACCTTTGTACATAAACACCTTAGAAATGACAAAATCCAAACAACCAAGGCGACTTTCCAAGATTTTGAATAATGTCTAAATGAATTGATTAAGAAATGTCAAAAAATAAAACGTAATCTTTATTTCATGAACCATAAACAACTGTGGGAGCAGATAAAATGTTATACACCAGGCAGCGGTTAAATATAATTTACCAGTCTCGAACTCTATTGCCAGCAATCGCTCCGCTCGGGCGCGAAATCGTGCTCGACTGGTAAATAATATTTACCTCTATGGTGTAAATAATAACTATTGTCAATAAGGTTAAATGTATATTGCATACCTAGATTTTTGGAACATTGGACTGGTTTCATTTAATAGCATTTTTAGGGAAACTTTTGAGTTTATTTGAATTAGTTTAATAACTTTAAAATAAAATGAAAATACCTGAGCTAATAATAAAGTACATATTTATTGACAAACTTCCACTAATAGAAAGTTAAGAGATTTTTTTACTAAAGTACAATTCGGTAAAACTTGGTAAGGGTCTAGTTACTATAATACTATATCACTTATCACGAGTTATACGGGGTGATTAATATCTTATCCAAATAAATTAAAAATAGAGTGAATGTCGTAAAAAATATTTTTTGTACAGTCCTTAGTTTCCGAGAAAAAAATTATTGAAGTTGTACTATTTTCAACCCTTACATCGCTGGGCTGCTGCTCTTGTGTCATTCGCGTTGTGCACCCTACGCAATGCTCTCTCTCCCCGTGGACCGAGGCAATTCCGAATACTGAAATCCGATTTTAGTATTAACGTTTTTGCGATAGTGTTTACATTAGTTTTTCAAGTGTCAAAAATGGCTTATGTGTATAAAAACACTCGGTGTTGATGGATATCGTTTTAATTTATGGTGAAGCAAGACAACATTTGTGTTATGGTGAAGCATTTGTGTTATAGTGAAGCAATACAACATTTTTGTGTTAGTTCGTAGTTTCCACGGGAAAGAAATTCTCTCAATTTTTTGTCTGTTCATTTTTTATTACACTCTGCCGCCGTGTCAGTCGCCGACTGCATGCTTTGCCAAACAGTAGACCAGAAGTGTATTTTTTAATCTTTTTTTACAGAATTGTAAGAGTCCCCTGTACATTCAATTTTTTTTGGATAAGCTCTGAATCACCTTGTATATTAAACTGGCTATGTACTAATAAAGTGTCATATTAGTGACACTGAATTTGAAAATAATTAGTTCATGGGTCTTACGGTTACAGACAGAAATCATTTATTCAATTTTAATATAAACATTCCGTTACTCATAAATGAAGCAAGAATTATCACACTTTGGCCTCAAGATTATTTGATAGCACTTGCGTATCTTTATTTGAATATCTTTCGTATACGTATTTTCGACTTTATTTTAAAAACACTTAGTTATTTGCAATATAAAATATTACAAAATTGTTGTATGAATTTCGCTGAAATAAAATAAAACTTACGAATAAATTTACATTATTAAAAATGATTATTTTAACATAATTTTATATCTATTATACAATTACGGATAAGTACAAAGATGTATTTTATTCTAATTAATAAATTAAAACCCTATATTAAACATTTATTAGGTATAATAAATTAATAAATAAAATTTAAAATAAAGAACTGCAAATAATCCTACATTCACATTTTGCTTTTCTCCTCTGGTTCCAGTTTTCTGCTCGTTTGGTATTCCTTCTATACTGTCAGAGAATGTCTACTGACAGTCCAGGGCCTTGGTATCATTTTGTTTCAAACAGAACTTTAACAAAATTATGAAAACTAAAGCTGCCAGGAACATTTTACAAAACATTTAAACGCAATCCTTATATCATCATGCCTGCACCACCACCCACCATTCCAGCTCCGCCTCCCATCATTCCAGCGCCACCGCCCATCATGCCAGATCCGACACCCATCATTCCAGCTCTGCCTCCCATCATACCAACTCTGCCTCCCATCATTCCAGAGCCCATGCCCATCATGCTGGAACCTGCCCCCATCATTCCAGCACCACCACCCATCATGCTTGCTCCCATCATCCCTGCACCACCACCCATCATGCCTGCACCGCCACCCATCATCCCGGCACCCATCATTCCAGAGCCGCCTCCCATCATCATCGGTGCACTCATCATTCTACCGCCTCCACTGACCATGCCACCGCCCATCATTTGGCTGTGGACCACTTGAACTAATAAAACACTGGCAATGATGAGTCTGAACATGTTTGGTTTGAGAAAGCGAACTGATTTTCGATCTTGGAGACGTGGACTTTTATATTTAGAATTTGCATGGTACATTTTTTGGTTCATTAAATAACGAATCCGTGTACTATTGACAATTAACCGTTTACCTTTTCAGGATGGTGGTAATGCAACCTTTAACGTTATCACAAGTGTTAAAATCAAGTTCAATTGTTTACTAATACAATTGCATTGTACTTAATTGCGTGAATATATGCTTCCTTACATTGTGCAATGTTTACGCTCTTAATGAATTAATTGAAGTATTTTTTTACATTTTAAAGAAACATGCTTAACAGAAAATAACGAGTCTTATGTTTTACAAACCCGGTACTGTTAACATTACCTTCACCACTTTTTAAGCCCAAACTGCTTGCCAACACGTCCATCTTCTGCTTGACGCTGGTCAGTAGCGGCTCTTCAAGTTTTTGGCTGTTTTCGTGATTTCTAAATCTGGTATAGAAGTGGAGAAAGCGCGACATTTCCTGCATTTGATTGTTTCTGTCCATGGCTTCAGTGATCAAGCTACCCTGTTTTTCGTCTGCCTTATGAACAGCTTCAAACCTGTTACACCTGAAGTAGCCGCCTGTAGCCGAACTGTGACGTTTCCAAGATTCTTGGCATACCCAGCAGAAGTCAAATTTGCACTAAAAAAAGTACAAAGTATCAAAAATTTCACAAAGTGCGTCCCTAAGCAAGAACCGGATGGGTGAAACGACATTTATAAAAGACACGAAATGTTAGTGTTGAAAGTGGTTTGCTTGGATGCAGCTCTTCTTCTTTCTGAGACAAAACATGTCTTGAATTAAAATTCGTAAAATACAGTATGCCTTGGAAACTGGAAACTCTGAGTTCATTCATTAGTTAACTGACATCTCTACATGGGACGTCACAAAACATTATTCAGAAAATTTTCTGAAGATAAGGAACGAAGTGTTTGTGCAAAATGTCAGTGCATTAGGCCTACTTTGATTTGTTGCTTAGTTTGAATTAAAAAAGGGTTCTCATAATGACTATCCTTTGGTTGTATTACCTATTAAGCTATCTTGAAATAAAATTTCATGGACCTGTAGGAGGCCTTTGATTTCGAAATCACTTTGACGAAACGAATAAAAGATAAAACACGTCAAGCAGTCTTGGAATACATGCATCGCCATGCACGAAACAGATTCAGAATACATCAACATTTCTCGAATCGGTTCCAGAATTATTTAAGTAAATATACTATAAAGTACGTCAAAATACTTAGAGAATCATTTCAGATTACATAAAATATAGCAGATATCTCAAAAGGTCAAGGTCAATAACCGAATGTCAAAGATCAAAATCAGTGGGAGCAAAAATCAATGTCATTAGACACAAGAGATCGTCGATTTTTAACCTAGGGAACACTGCTCTTTGGTCTCTGGCTCCCGGAGTTATTGACCATTAGCCCCGGGGCATTGACCTCTGGTACCTACCCTGAGGTATTTAGATAAGTTCATAGATTTTCGAGATATTAAGTATTTCCAGTTATTTTGAAGCTTTCGTTGCGTTTCGACATATTTAATAGTTTTTAAGGTATTTTGCTGATCTGTAGCTTTTCGCGATTCTCTTGTATTGGATATCGTTAGATAAAATTTCATGTACCACCTACTTGCGAGTTTTTTGAGATCTAAAGGAGGACTGAATCGTAAATATAAACGGGAAACATGTACAATTTCGTGTCCTTCCTGTATTAGATACGACAAAAAAAATTCATAATGAAAAATTAAATATGTGTGTAAAATTTTAATGTCAGTGCCTACTATGAGAAAAAATTAAAATCAAGCAAAATATTAAGTAGGTCTAGGAACATTTTGTGATATCTCAGAAACGACTGGTGAAAATGCTATTCTCAATTTCCAAGGCTTATGCATTTTACGGATTTGAATTTATGGCAGATTTTATTTCGCAAACAGGTAAGGTTGAATCCTAGAAGGCCAGTTTCCAGCACCAACATTTGCTGTCTCTTATTAGAATGATTTTACCTATTCGTGGACATACTGTATAATATTGCAACATATCAAATTGCAATTGCAATTTTGCTAGTGTGTTATCTGAGCTTTTAGTCCAAGAGCTTACAAAAAATACCACCTGGAAACAAAAAAAAGGTGAAATATAGTGTTTTTTCCTGTGGCGCGTAAACGGCGAAGTTAACCTAAAAAATTCATAAAAGTCAAAAAAAAACAGTTTTCAGCAAATAAAAAAAATACTTGAACTCCAATCGAAAAAATTAAATAAGAAAGTTGTAGCTATTTGGAGATATATCGAAAAAACCGTCAAAAACCGATTTTTTTTGTTTTTACTGTATCTCTTGCAAATTAAGGTTTTGAAATTTGTTACTTGCTGTAAAGCTAGCCCTCGGCTAGCAAAAAAGTGCCTTGTTTTAAATTAAAAAATATTAAAATTTTTTCGAGTTATATCGATTTTTAGAAAAAAAAAAGGTCATCTCGAAAACCGGGTATTTTTTTATTGAAAATATGTCTTCAACTTTAATCTCTGTAAGAATGGACAATATAACACTTAAATAGCGACCTGTGGATTTTTTTGGAAAAGGAAAATTATCTCGGTCCCAGAAAGTCGTAGAGCAACGTTTTTTTAAATAGGCGTAAAAATGCCAGCAGTCGATTCCTGTAATAGATATTATCGAGAAATGAAATTCGAACAAGATATTCAAGAAAAACGCGACCAAAAATTTTTGCTTTTGTCATTTTTGAACACAAATGAATAAAATCGTTATCACTTTTTTTCACCATGAAAGTACAACTCTAAAGGTAAAAAATGAGCCCTAATTCGTTTCTCTATGACTATTCGTCGAGCAAGAAGAGCCGATTTTCAAGTTGACCTTTTTTTTCGAAAAATTGATATAACTCAAAAAATTTCTAATATTTTTTAATTTAAAAAAGTCACTTTTTTGCTTGCTGAGGGCTACATTTACAACAAGTAACAAATTTCAAAATCTTAATTTGCAAGACATACAGCAAAAACAAAAAAAAAAGGCGATATTTGATGGTTTTTTCGATATATCTCGAAAAGTAATATAGCAATTGATACATTTAAAAATACGAATCGCTAGGTTTTTTTAATAGCTACAACTTTCTCATTTAACTTTTTTCGATTGGAGTTCGTTTTTTTTATTAGCGAAAAACTGTTTTTTTATCTTTATGAATTTTTTAGGTTAACTTCGCCGTTTATGCGCGACAGGAAAAACACTATCTTAGAATTGTTTTTCCTCTATCACCATATTTTTTGTTTCCAGGTGGTATTTTTTGTAAATTTAACATTAGGTCGTGACAGATTGATTGAACTATTTGCAGATTTCATGAAATCACATCAGTTGTGTATATCGTATTGATGTCGCTTATTGAATTAAAGTCAATTAAACACTAAATCAAAGATAACACAAGTAAAATAAGCAGTTAATTGCAATTTATTTTCTTCTTTGTTCATATTAAAGTCAGTGAAAACACGACACTTAAACTTCAACCAGATTTCCAGACGTATATTTTAATTGTGTTTGCAATGTTTTAATCGTTTGAATGACATACGCCAAATGCAAAGCTGTCTCATATACTTGATAGTATAATGATAATTACATTGATGAAAATGAAATTACCCACACTCAGTTAGTCTTCAATTGTAAGGCACTATGCAATTAAATGAGTCTAAATCGGAAGCATCTACTAGTTCTCCGGTTCCTTAATGCATTTTGGTTATGGTGAACTTATTGCCATTAGAAATTATTTATCAGCAAATTTACTGATTTCAATCGAACCGCTTTTAGTGAAATAAGTTATATTTTCCTTTTCTTATTCATCTAGCAGAATAAAGCATGGTTTCAATCCAAAATTTATATATTTCCTCAAAAAAAATGGCACCTTTGATGTAATGATTACTGTAATTAGCTATTGAATTTTCTTAATTTCACGGAATGATATTATGTAGTGATCTAAAGTTTATATGATTTATAGCAAAAAATTCCTAAAAGAACGACATTTTTCTCCAATCTACTTCTTAATTACCTTTGAACATTTCATGTGGTTGCAACCTTCATTCTTCTGGATGGGGCTTTTGCAGTTTGGACAAGGCTTGGAATTTGTTACCAGCCACAAGCAGTTGGCTGCATCTTCGCTTCCGCTGCAAGACGCCTTCAATTCTTCTGGCTTTACTTCCTTTATTTTCACTTGCCATTCTTGCCACTGCTTGCAGCCACACGGTGCATGCGCCTCTCCTATAAAATTTATTTAGAAAATATATAAAGTAATAGTAGATTATGATACATAATGAGCTTCGTCCACTTTCGGTGTGCCACAAAGATCATATTTCGTCCCATTTTTCGTTTTATATGAATGACTTTTAAATTTTAACGGTCTCTTTAATGCCGAAACTGATAAACATATAAAGCAATAATGAATTACAGTAATTAACCTTTACCTCGTTTAACTAAATTGCATTAGTTACGGAAGTAAGCTTAATTCTTCAAAAGCTGCGATTCAATGGAGCTTTACTGCCACTTAAATGGAAAACATAGTGAACAAGAATAATACGTGCAATAGAAACATGCATGAAAAATAGAGAAAATTTGTCACATACTGTATATGACATGTATGAATGAAAATTACCTTTAAGGAAAAATAAAGTCGCTAACATATCGTTTTTAGTTAAAAAAATTAAACTGATGGTTGTTGAAAGAAAAAGATGTCACATTAAAAATTTTATTCCTTGTTCGAAATGGAGTTAAAATGGCCTTAAGAAAGTGTTTTCTATCTTCGTGTAGCTTTTCAAGTAAACGTTAAAAACGATGAAATGGAAATAATTTCAATTTATCTTGGCAAAGTTAATATAGACTATGTATTTCAATTCAATTTAACCACTTCTTTTGTCTCTGGTGGTGTGGGGTGGCAATGATATCATATATTTTTACATAAACTATAAAGAAAATGCAATGCAATATCAAGAATCAAGATATGTAAAAAAAATGTATAAATCTTGATCGTGAAACGCAAAATTTTCAGGGTACGTGTCTTCAAATTTTTTGAGAAAAATCAATTTTTTTATATTTCGTTAAGGATTAAGATTCACAAAATTTTATAATGTATTACCTCCTTTTGGTACATAAAATCGTTCTTTTAATTCTGAATTTCAGCAGCCAGTGCCTTAGGGAGGAGGGGTCTCCTCTATCCGTGAAATGTAACTTGTACGCCTATGACTATTTTCGGAAATATTTATGCACACTTTCTCGTGTCAAATTTTCATATTTTTATATACCTACGGCATTGACAACTGAACTGAATTTACTATAATTTTTCACAGATTCTCAAGACAAATTTAGGGGACCAGTATTTTTTATTTTTGCCAAGTGGCCCCCTCTTTCGGAGTTATAGCCCCCTGAAGTTCGCCCCTAAGAATAATCTTCTTTTTATATCTCAGAACCCTGTTGTACGAGAATCACTATATTTGGTACACAGGGGTTTTATGACATGCGGAATCTGAAGGTGCAACGTTTTTTGGCGGGGAACCCCCTTAAGAGAATTTTTCGTGGGCCCCCCTTGTCTTTGTAGCCAAAAAAATTTGGTCGCATATTTAAATTTCTTAAAAATTATCAATCCACCAGAAACCATTAAATTTAGAAACTTTTTGTCCCTTTATACTTTTTTCGTAAAACGCAATGTTTTCGAGAAAAATGTAAAAATGTGATCGAATACATATATTGTGATTCGCCATTTTCCTCAAAAACATTACGTTTTACGAAACAAATATCAAGAGACAGAAAAGTTTCTAAATTCAATGGCTTTCTAGCTGACTAATAATTAAAAAAAAATCAAATTTGCGTCCAAATTTTTCTGGTTCCAAAGACAAGGGGGCCCACCAAAAAGTGTCTTAAGGGGGTTTCTCGCCAAAAAGCGTAGCACTGTGAGATTCCACATCTCATAAAACCCCTGTGTACCAAATTTAGTGATTCTCGTACAACATGGTTTTGAGATATAAAAAAGACTTCTTAGGAGCAGATTTCAGGGGGCTGTAACTCCGAAAGAGTGGGTCAGTTGGCAAAAAGAAAAAATACGGGTCCCCTAAATTTGTCTTAAGAATCTATAACCAAATTTTGTTGCATGAATTTCGGGACATCCTGTATATGTCTAAATATTCCTCTATAAAATTTGTGAACCTAGTAGTACGCGTTTTTAAGATGTTTACATAAGTGGATTTTTTTTCGAAAAGATCAAAAGCTTGTCTCTCAGAAACGGTTAATTTCCAGACAAAGAGTTATATACATTTTTTGTTTAATTTTGTACGGATATTGTACTCTTAAAATTGTACTACGCCCTGAAGAATATATTAAAGGAAGTTCCACCAGAAAACTAAATTTTCGATAGCTGTCATTTTATTATAACCGTTCAATTTTTTTCTACAAACAATTAGTTTAGAAGACGGCGAAAAGATCTAAAAATAGATGATCTGAATGATTATAGAAGACATAGAGGAATTTCAAATGGAGCCCTCTGTATATTTTTTCTTATATTCGAAAAATCTAGAATATAATTACAATTGCAGTGTTCATTAATATCTTTCTAAAAGTAACTAGGTATATTTTGCGGCGAATATAAAATGGCTACATGCAATAAAACCTCCAAGGATTCGTGCGGCTTATTGGAAGAGTAGACGTTATCCTTAACATCCTTCCACATAATTGGAACGCAGGCACCGAAACAGGGTCACGTTTTATATAGAGGCTAAAGCCTCAAATACAACTAAGTCTTCATCTACTCACCCAAGCATTCCCAGCAAAAGAAGTGGGCGTTGCCGCAGTCCACAGCGTGCGACGTGATCGGCACCAGCTTGTTGTTGGTAGTCCTGCTGCTCCCGATTTGTTCCGCTTCGGGGAGCCGCACGGCCCTCCCGCAGCCCGCGATGGGGCACCATTTGATGCTCTTATTGCTCTCCACGAACGCCTTTAAGGAAACAGTGATGATGGGATTATTCCGGACTTAATGAATTTATTACTATTCTATTTATACAATTATGGCACAGATTCTGGGATGCCTTTAGTATAACGTAACATCAGTAAATAGAGTGCTAGACTAGAGTCAGTGGCTCATACACTTAAAAACCAATAAATGTTTTTCCTCGTAATTTTAAGGAAATGTTGGGTTTGGTATGCAGAGAAAGTGTTAAAATTATGTAAGTGCCAAAATATGTTTAACCATGTATTTAACTCATCAAAAGTAACAACTTTTATCTAATACACAAGCACACAAAAGAAAAAAGTGGTGTGTTCTTTCGATCAGATCGGTTCGCTAAGTTTTTTTGCCTATTTCTATCTCTATTATTCCATAAACACAGAAAACAAATATGCTTGGTAAATCCTGATTGCTGTCCCAAGATAACACTAATGATTTTGAAATCTCTGCAGATTCTTCACTTGTGCTCTGAATATTTTGAAGACATTCTTCATACTATCAGATTCAGGCACCTTTGCTAGATCCATCCAAGGTTCTGCTTCCTCTACTACACATAAAACTTGGACTTATGAAACAATTCCTTAAGGAATTGGGAAAAGAACATCTGATCAAAAAAAACCACATACATTTAATTTAGTAAAATAAGTGTAAACTTGACATAATGAAAAGGTTAATTTCTTTTTGGTGAATTTGAAGAAAGTTGTTATCTTCAAAACTAAGAGATATTTCTTTAACCTAGAGGGGGTCCATTATTGTTATTTTAATGAGTAAAAAATATTGGACACACATGTAGATTTTCGAAAAAAGTATTAAACAAAAGTTGTTGTTTCAATGAGTTGTTTGTGTGATTAAACTTTTTGCACTTAATTCTGGGATACCCTGTCTTCAGTAAGTAGTTCCTCCTCCAAATATAAGTGTGAAATTCTGAAGCAATTTCATCTATATTAGATAGACAATACAGACACGTAAAAAAAAAATAAGGGCTGTTTTTAGGGATGGGGATACCAAAAATATAATAATAAGTCTTCGACATCCAAATGTTCACCAGAAGATCATATTTGAGATCTTAGTTGTATTTGTAAAAATTTTATGTAAACGTAGTAACCAAAGGTTAAATTTCTATTTGATGGATTTTTTACTATAATCGGTTGATTTCAACAATTTATATGTATTCTTAATATGTATATTTTAAATGATCTAAAAACAATAAAATGAAGTAAGCTGTTTTAAAATTGTAGCTAATTATATATATACAATAGCAGCAAAGTAAATATGTAGATCAGCAGGCGTCAATAGAAACATCTCCTGTGTTATGTCGTCATTCCTTAAGTATATTATTGGATTTTGAAGGCACATTAGAATAACAAAGATTTACAAAAATTCACTCCGGATAAAAATCTCTCTCTTTTTCTGTTCTTAATTTCCCTACGTTCCAATAATTGGGCATTTCTATTTGGAAAGTTTTTTAGGCTTTTTGAAATTTGGCATTTTATAAAATTCGAGATGATCGTGATTTGCCATATTCATCCATTAAATATAAACACCATATTTGCCCTTGTAAGTATAATATGTATAATATACAGGGTGTTGAAAATTAATAGGTCAAGCAGTTAACCACATATTCTTTGGAATAAAATAATGGAACTTTTCTTATGCCAAATGATTTTCATTGATAACTCCGGTCATTGTAGATTTATGTAGTATGTATTTATTTGAAATATAGCACATATTTTGATCTTAAGTCGGCACATTTTTTGTGTAATTTTGATTTAAAATATCAAACGCGAACGGAGGGGAGGGGGGGTTGCAGTGCCCATCCCTATTTTTTTTTGAGTACGCCTAGGCTTTCCGAATATTTTTTTTAGATAAAGCGGAATTTTATTATGTTTTTTTCACTGTTGTAAGATTTTTATTTGGGGCTCGGTTTACCAAATATTGTAACTTTTTTAGATACGCGATATAAATTTAGTCGACGTTAGACAATTTTTAGGGTTTTAAGCAAAATTTCCATTTCCAATGGTACCAATACTAACTAAACAACAGTTAAAGAAACGAAATGAACGAGGTAAAGAGTAGGCTGGAACCACATATTTTGATTTGGGGCTTGCTGTACGAGATATTGCAACGTTTCTAGATGTGTTAGATTTAGCTCAAATTAAATAGCGTTGATCGTGATGATCATTTCCATTTTATTCAGTAAATTGAAATAAATAATGACTAAATCTTTCATATAGCCTTAAAAAATAAAGTCTAATGTCGACTAATTCGATGTCGCGTTTCCAAAAAAGTTACAATATCTCGTAAACGAGGCTCTAAATCAAAATCTTACAAGAGTGAAAAAATTAAAAATAAAAATCAACATCTAAAAAAAATATCCGTAAAGCAGAGGCGTACAAAAAAGAATAGGGTGTCCATAGATAGGTACTGAAATCTCCCTCCCCTACGTTCGCGCTTTGATAATTTAAACCAAAATTACACAAAAAGTGTGCCGACTTAAGATCAAAATATGTGCTAAATTTCAAATAAATATAAATGAAAATCGTTTTTTAAATTTTAATTTTGACACCCAGTATTTTGAAAATGGGGCTCTGAAATAAAAAGTGACATAAGAATAGTCCCATTATTTTAGTTCAAAAAATAAGTGGTTAACGGGCTGACCTACTAATTTGTAACACCCTGTATAATTGTAAAAATTGTGTGCACAAAAATTACACAGCCACACAAAAAAGAAAAGTAGTTTGTACTTTTCATGCGACGTATGTTATCAGTAGTATTTTTGCCTCCTGATCATGAATCCATTGTCAGAATTTAGCTATCACAGGAATTTCATAACCTCAAAAAACAGGTCAAAAATAGCAAAAATTCACAAAAAAGTGCTAGGAACACTAGAAAATTTTTTTTTCCATATTCAAATATTCATTTATATAGTTAATACTCCGTCGAACGTGAATTAGCTGTCAGAATTGATGGTTCTTTTTCTAACCTCAAAAAACGGGTCAATTAAGGTCAAATATCACGAATTTTCAAAAAATAACAAATTCGCGCCAAATTTGGTGTACGGGGGTTTTCGGGATCGCTGATCACGGGTCCGAGGTCAATTTTGCAAAATTCAAGATGGCGGATCCAAGATGGCCGACCAAATTTTCAAACAATAACAGATTCGCATCAAATTTGGTATAAGGGGGTTTTCGGGGTCGCTGATCACGAATTCGTGGTCAATTTTACAAAATTCAAGATGGCGGCCGACCAAAATTTCAAAAAATAACACATTCGCGCCAAATTTGGTATACGGGGGTTTTCCGAGATCAAATTTACAAAATTCAACCCGTGAACAGATCTTTTACAGAAAAAAGAACAAGATATAGCCGAAAAAAAGTAGATGACACATGATTGGGTACTCACGTTATAAAATAAAATATTACAAAATGGGTTTCGCAATTCTGACCTCGAATACGTAATCAGCGACTCCGAAAACCCCCGTATACCAAATTTGCTGCGGTTCCGTTATTATTTGAAATTTTGGTCGGCCATTTTGGATCCGCCATCTTGAATTTTGCAAAATTGACCTCGGATCCGTAGTCAGCGACCCCGAAAACCCCCGTATACCAAATTTGCTGCGGTTCCGTTATTATTTGAAATTTTGGTCGGCCATTTTGGATCCGCCATCTTGAATTTTGCAAAATTGACCTCGGATCCGTAGTCAGCGACCCCGAAAACCCCCGTATACCAAATTTGGCGTGAATCTGTTAGTGTTTGAAAATTCATGATATCTGACTTTAATTGACCCGTTTTTTTGAGGTTAGAAAAAGAACCATTAATGCTGACCGCGGATTCACGTTGGGCGGGGTCTTAATAATAATTATATAAATGAACATTTGAATATAGAAAAAAAAATTGTATTTTTCTTAGCACTTTTTCATGAAATTTTGCTATTTTTTACCTGCTTTTTGAGGTTAGGAAATCCTAAAATGCGATAGCTCAATTCTGACACCGGATTCGTAATCAGGAGGCAAAAATACTACAGATAACATGTCGCAAAGTACAGACTACTTTTCTTTTTTTGTTGGCTGTGTTATTGAATAATAGATTTAAACTTGTATTCTTTTCGTAGTATGTACGAGTACTCTTATTTATTTCCTTGTTTTATGTACATTGTCTGGTCTCAATTTCTGAAATCATGGTTGAAAAACTCTGAAAAGCAATCGAAATAAAATATTTTCTTTAAATTTCGAATCCATTCGTTTAATCGGAACCCAGAACCGGAATAAATTGGTAAGTTAAAGCGTTCAAAGAGCGCTTCGATTGATCGACATTTACTTTTTTCACTTCTTTATAGGCTTATGTACATATTTACGCCGTAGCATCGACTTCTCAGCGCCTTTTAAAAGTGAAGTACCCTCGTTATGCAAATTTAACTCAAACTCGATGCGGGCCCCGCAGTAGCGATAAAATTCACAGATGAATTCATCGCGTTTCTAATGAATTAAACTATATCGACGTCGCGGTAGGGGATTGGGAGTTTATACTTGAATTATTTAGCTCTGTCCGAAGTTTGGGTTGCAACAAGACCATGGTGTATTTTCATGTTAAAGAACCGTGAATTTTTTATACGCTTGTAACATCAGCTGATATTGAGCGGGGAAGCTTACAATAAACTGTTTTTAGGAAAATAATAATAGAAATAATGGGATCTGCCAGTTCTTTTATCGGGCGCATCTCTCCGAATATTAAAATGCCTACATCGCTTTGGCAGAAAGCTATGTACAAATTAAAAATACTCCTCGTGTGACAAAACTTGTATACCCATGGGAATAGGAGGACACGAACGAAAAGCCTAGGAAAAGAGGCACTCTCGATCAGAACGCTACAGCAGAATCTTTTTCCGAAAATGACATATCATTAGATCCGACATAATTGGTGACGGAAATTGTATTTTTATATCAGTACACTGTAAAAAAATTTCACTCAAATTTCACTCAATTTTACTCAGTAATGTATCAGTGTCTGTCTACACCCGATTGAGTGAAATGTTCACTCTATTAGTATGAGTACAACTGAGTGAAACTATTGGATCAGAAATAAGTGAGATTTACTCCAAGTTACTTACTACAAGTATCAATTGAGCGACTTTTGACTTCTGAGTACATAAAACCAGTTTGGAGTTGACTTTTTCTCTAATATGATTTAAATTTAACTATTATTGAGTCGCTTTTTACACCGACTTGGTTTTTAATTAACTAAATATTGAGTGCAAAAATACGTCAATCATAAATGATTAATTAGCATAGTGTTGAAATTAATTCATTTTGCAGGGCCTCCTCCCGACCTGGCTGAGACCCGTCGGCTAAGGCCTGTTCTCCTGCCGATCACGCTTTTCTGAAGCATCTAACGGGCCGCTATCAACTGTGGTCGAGATTACAGAAGCAATATGTATGTGGTGCCATCTTCACGGCGCCATTCAATTTAGTCGAAATTAATATACTTGCAATTAAACTCACTCAGTAATGAGGACATTAACCTGATTTAAGTACAAGTGCACCATATACGAGTTTACGTGAAGAATTTATTTAAGGAGTACCTATATTTGAGTGAAAGTACTCAGTTTTAGTTTAAATACAATCACAAATGAGTAAAATGACCAAAATGACCAATATTGAGTGAAAATGTGCTCTATAATTTCACTCAATGGATTTACTCCGAACCATTATTACTTTCACTCACACCGATTTTTTTACAGTGAAAGTCTACAGCTATATGATCACTTATTTTAATGGGAAGGTAAGAGAAGAGGCACTAAAATATATACGTCGAATCTGGTGATCTCCAAAACCATGACTTTATTGAAAATGCGGAAATAAGTAATATCGAGGCTCAGTGCATATAAACAAAAATCGCTACGGAAGAAATAAAAGTAAGAGGCACACCAACGATAGTAAATAAAATCAAGCATGCTAAAAGTAATTATCTGATATCAGGAAGATCTATAGAGGGAGAACATTTTGAGCTTCTCAGACCACAGAATGGCAACAACAAAAATGTTTCAAAACTGAAAAGAGTCGGAAACATGCCCAAAGTGTTTTGCTGAAGCAATCGACAGCCACTAAGGCAAGGCTTGCTAGATAACGTAACATAGACGATACAAATGAAGTAAACTGTTATGCGTTTGTATTTTTAAGTCACACGGTTGGAAACAATCTCCACAGGATACACACAAGAATTACATCAATAATGACGTATATGCAATAATATGCATATTCCAAGTATAACCACAATTATGTGGAGGATTTAGTTAACTAAACTATCAACCTTCAAAGTTGGAAATAGAATAATATTCTAAGCCTTAAATATTAATGGATCAAAAGAGAGTAACAGTAAATAATAAAAGATTAAAATTATTGAAAATAAAAGAAATTAAAGAAGTTGCTGAAGAAGTACAAATGTTTCGAATGGTACCCACCGAAGAAGAGAAAAGTAAGAAAAACAAGAAGGAGTAAGCCTTCAAGAGATACGAAACAAAATAGAAACCAATATTATTAAGTGGGAAAGAAGTCGGGCTCTGGGAAAATGAACTGAAACAGAACACAGGAAATACTGGACTTCAAGGCCAGGGCATAGCCATTCTAAGGAGCTCATAGAATATCCTTTGAAGAAAAGAGCAAATGAGTTACTGAGCTTGAATAAAATCCGGTTCAGGAAAGTGACGCATGACGGGACTGATAACGGGACACTGTCACTTTAGGAAACATCTGCATAAGCTAAAGCTTGTAGACAGTCCGGTCTGTCGAGGATGTGACTCGGCAGATGAAACTTCTCTGCATATCATTGGCGAGTGCCCGGGATTTGCACGTAGTAGAATGACGCTCCTGGGGACACCCTATTTGAAACTCAAGGAGCTGAGAGACGTGTCAGCATGGAAGGTTTTGGACTTTGTTAAAAGGACAAAACTACTTGATGAATAGGACTAAGTAGTGGAACGCACAATAGACCTAATAAAGGCCGCGGTGCCATGGGACTTATCAGAACCGACCACTTGGAAAAGAAGAAGAAGAAGAAGTGGGAAGGAAACAATACAGTTATAGACAACACTGTTCTTTCTTAGCTTTAGCTAGGAACCTTTGACCTGCCTTTGTTGTTCTAGGGCTAAACTCTGTCGGGGCGGATTGGCGCTCAGAACCCTTAGGCTCACTCTGATATTATTTTGATTCTTGTTGTTGGTTCCAAGGCTGTAAGCATATATCATCCGGATTTAAATCCGATCGAGATTATTTCAGCGACTATGGAAAAACCTTGCTGATGCATCATAAACGTGCAGAAGTTGAAAGTGATATTTCTAGTAAATCTTCTTAATCCCTTCGAGTGTTATATTATTAAGCTGTGCTAATGTGTTCATTATTTGTGAAAAATTAATTTGCAATGTTTTCATCTAAGTTAACTTTATTGCATTTATAGGCAAAGCCATATTTTCTTGTACGTTTATTATTAACATTAATTCATTTCTGTTATTTAAATCCAACATATGTATTAATATAATATAAAAATATAAAAATATATGCACGCAAATAATTCAATATTTTTAGGTTTGTGCTCTGCCTCTCTCTCGTTCCGAATGCTTCACTTCCGCACATCTATTCCTACTTCTCATCACCAAACATATTTCTATTGACCTTGTCACTGGCATATTACGCTGTGTGGCACATTCTAGTATTTTTAGTATTCATTGTGCTTGCCGCCAGTAGAAGGTTAAAACAGGTATATGCTGATTGCTAATCTCTAAATCAAAACCTTGACCAATTGACCCCATAAAAAACTTGCTGCTGTATTAACATCATAAGGAGAAAATGAAAGATACATCGAAAACAGTAGAAGTGGAGTTTGCAAAGCCAATAATAACTATCTTCGAAACGCCTTAGTCACAACAGAATAAAGATACTTTTATAATTTTTTGTATTGAGTTTACATTGTCTTCAAAATAAATTATCACAGATAAAAATCATATTTACAGTCAGTTCATAAAATTTTTAGTCCATAAGCACTAGAAGTGTTAAGGAATCATGTAAGTATAGTAATGATGTACAAAAATACAAAACACTTTGAGTGTTGTTTAAATTTAACAGAAAAAAATGTACTGCCTTTTTGTAACTGACTCAATTAATGAAAAATTTTGAAAGAGAATATTATTAATTAAATCATGTAATACTTTGTTCACTGGTGCTAAAATTTTGTTCACACAATGTAACTCCCTAATAAAATTTAGTTTGAACCTCACTAAACCGTAAACCGTTAATTAAGCTGCAGTCTGCTTTTGAGTGCAAAGCAACCACTGCTTTCGACGCCTGTAGTATTAGATTGCAAGTGCTGATTCAATTTTCTCTGAGCGCAGGGGAATATAAAGATTTTCATACCCTCTCAAGTTTATAACTTACTGATAAAGTTTAATTGAACGGCTAGAGGAAACTGGAATATAAAAACACTTTAAATGACATTCGATTTAGTTAACAGAAAATTAGGTTGCACTAAATGTGTACAAATGGAGAAGGAACGAACTTTGAAGATTTGTATTTCATTTTCCAACAAAATACAACTTTGGAGAGTCATTGTTCACCCAATTAGGAATCATAAGAATAAATTGTAGTTTTTCCTAGCCACTAAAGGATTCATACAGCTACTCCAAAACTGTTAAGGAAAGAAATATATCTATAGCTACATAATTTAAATATTCACACTGTTCGAGACTATAAGTATGAAATATTTAGCTCGTCTACAGCACTTACCTTTATGTCGAACTGAAGGTATCTCCTAGCCATATCTGGCGTGACCAGTTTCTCAATCAGCTCCACAGGCACCAAAATGTGGCACTGATAAGCAGGGCAAAGTATGTTGTGGGCGTCACCGTCCTGGATCTTCGTGGTGAGATAACTCTTCCAACAAATCTTACAGAACGAGTGCTTGCAGGACATTTTCACCGGTTGCTCCCAGTTTGAAATGGTGAAGAGACAGATCTCGCACTGGAAGAAGAGAATCTTTCATTAGAAAAACGCATCTGTTCTAGAAATATGTTGGTGAACTTATAAGCTAGCAAATTTTCTTCTTCGCCAAACGTTTTAAAGTATCTTAGTAATTACTCGTATCCTCTATATTTAAAAAACAATGCATAGGAAATTGATCCTCAATATTACATTTATTTATATTTTCAATTTTCAGACATACCATAACTTCATTGACTTCTCCCGTAGTTTCGGTGGATATACTCGACTCTACAGACCCAGCGTGTTGTAAAACTGATGACGGTGCTTGAACACCAGCTAATTGGCAACACTCCACAGGGTCTCTCATCCACTTCTCTAATAACAACTCCCTGGACCATTCTGGAAATAAGGTTCGAAAGTATAATACAGTGTGTCCAAGATAAGGATGGGATAGCATTAGGATCTAGGAAACGGTAAGAGATGCGGGGTGGTTCAAATTAGGAAAAAGTTGTTATTTTATATCTAATAATACGCCGTTTAAAAAGTTTTAAAGTTCCGGGTAGTTCCAGAGATATCCGGAAAAACCCGAAAATTTTCAAAATCGTTTTATTTTTTTCTGGCTTTATGTGAAAACGATTTTTAAAATAAATTGCATATTTACCACTTTCGCTCTATCCAAAGCTGTCAACATTTTTACATCAAGTCAATTTTTTTAAATACGTCGCTGCTATTTTTATGAAAAAATCTAAAGTTATTTTTAATTCTGAATTAGATGATATTGCTATTATAAAAAGGTTTTTAGCTTGTTTTAGCTATCATTTAAAATTTTTGAGTACGGCTCTGAACGCTTTGAAAATATCTATTGGGGAAGTTATAACAGTATAAAAGTCAATACGGCACAAAATATCCAACAATTTTTGTTAATAAATGATTTAAAAAAGTTGTACCTAATAAAAAAATAATACGAATTTATGAAATGTTTTATTATTTCTAATTAGTATTTAAAAAAATTTGTATTCTTGCTATTTGTATGTAAGGAAAATACTTGTAGACTCAATTTGGCCCCAATAGTTAAAATTATCTCAGTAATTCCCAAAGTGGATTACCGAGAACTGATTGGCCGTCATTCCAGGAAAATGAAAAGAGCAAACAGGGCATCATATTATAAGTACCTGATTTAAAATTCTATAGGGCTAAATTTAGGTACTGCTTCCGGGCCATGACGTCATGGAAAGTAGGTATATTCCCAATATCATAATAATTTTTTTGCAACTAGTGGAAGATCTTTTTCTCACCAAGTTTTGTTACAAAAATTATTCAATAGGTATCTCTTCTTTCAAACAATATAGATCTCTAGAGAAATTAAACAGTAACAGAACAATTTTATATTGATTATGCGAAGGAAAGCAACTGAATCCGATATTTATATTCACTATTAACACATAATAGTCCAAGCATTATAGAGAAATGCTTACAGAAATTATTACCTGGACAAAAAAAATATAACTGTATAGAAAATTAAATTTTAAATAGTTTCTTGTTCTTTAAACTCGATCCAAAATGGCGAACATGGTTAAAAAAAATCGCATAGTTGCAAAAAACGGTTTTTCTAAAATAACTAAAAAAATATAGCACCGATTGAAAAATTTTAAATGACAAAGTTGTAGGTTTTAAAAAGATCTATCGACTGATTTTTTGTAAATATCGATTGCTTTTTTACTTTTCGAGATATATCGGAAAAACCGTTAAAAATCTTCTCTTTTCTCTTCTTCTATAACTCGTTTACATTTATGTTGCCTTATTTGCTATTTACTGCAAGCATAGCCCGCGGCAAGCCAAAAAAGTACATTTTTGAAAAATTTAAAAATATTAATTCTTTTTCGAGATATATCCATTTTTTGAAAAAAAAGGCGCTCTCGAAAATTAACTAAATCTTTTCAGTGGATAGCCCTACAGTGACGATTTTCGGTTTATTTTCTTCGTAAAGAGTTATATTATTATGCTGTGAAAAAATGTTGACGATTTTATTAATTTTAAGGATCAAAAAATGACTGACTTGCACTTTTTTTGGGTGTTTTATTCAAATAACTATTTCAATTTTTATTTTATGAAAACTTTTAAAGAAAGAAATTGCTGACATATTTTCACGAATTTAAAAAAAAAAAATGTTTTTCTAGGACCTTCTGGAGCCGAGACAATTTTTTTATTTAAAAAGCCGAGATATTAAAGATTTTGCAAGCGCGAGCCATTTAGACTGCACGTCATCAGTTTTCAAAGAGAGCGCGCGCCGCTTCCCCCTACTTCTCCGTCCGGTCCAGCTGACGCACTCAGAGCTTGGCACGCTTCAGTTTTATTACTCAACTACTAATACTAATAATCAAATAACCATATCCTACTATTTTTTTTTTGAAAATATAAGTATTCGATATTAACCTCCATCAAGCGCATCATTGTAAAATGTTAATTGCGTCTTTAATTTTTTTTTAAAATAAAAAATTATTTCGGCTCCAGAAGGTCATAGAAAAAAATTTTTTTTTAATTCGTGAAAAAATGTCAGCAGTTTCTTTCTTTAAAAGTCATTTTCATAAAATAAAAATTGAAATAGTTATTTGAAAAAAACATACCCAAAAAAAGTGCAACTTTTTCAGTCATTTTTTGATCCTTAAAATTAATAACGTCGTCAACATTTTTTCACAGCATGATAATATAACTCTTCACGAAGAAAATGAACCAAAAATCGTCACTGTAGGGCTATCTGCTGAGAAGATCTAGCCAATTTTCGAGAGCGCCCTATTTTCAAAAAATCGATATATCTCGAAAAATAATTAATGTTTTTAAATTTTTCAAAAATGTACTTTTTTGTCTTGCCGCGGGCTATGCTTGCAGTAAATAGCAAGTATGGGAACGTAGATGTAAACGAGTTGTAGAAGAAGAGAAAAGAGAAGATTTTTTACGGTTTTTTCGATATAACTCGAAAATTAACAAAGCAATCGATACTTACAAAAAAATCTGTCGATAGATCTTTTAGAAACCTACAACTTTCTCATTTAAAATTTTTCAATCGGTGCTATATTTTTTTAGTTATTTTTAGAAAAACCGTTTTTTGCAACTATGCGATTTTTTTAACCATGTTCGCCATTTTGGATCGAGTTTAAAGAACAAGAAACTCAATTTAAAATTTAATTTTCTATACGGTCATATTTTTTTTTGTCCAGGTAATAATTTCGGCAAATTTAACGTTAATCCGTGACATAATGCTTGGACTATAATTATAGTTGGGCAAAACTACATTTATTAAAATTTATTAGTACTCAATGAAAAAGTAGGCAGTAATATTTAGGGAAGAAAATTAGCATTCCGCTTTATAGAAACAAATGATTTATGTCAATAATGAACATCAACATTGACAGTATTTTGTTTTCCATGGCAACGTTGACAAAATTAGTAACAGACTTGACCGAACCAGTATTTTCTTTATGCATATCATTTTATATCCTTTCAACACGAGGAAGTATCGAAAAACTCCTAATAAATTTAATGTTTTCGATAAAAATGTGAACTTTCTTTCGAGAAAAATAATTTCGATGACGTCAACTCTCAGGACGATTAACTTGCCAAGTTTAAAACCACGCGCTTGTGATTACCTATTTTCTCTTTCGGGTGACCTAAAATGGGAATTTTAGACACGTGCATGTTTGTTTTTAACATTAGCTCTATACACAGAGAAAAGTCCAGAAGCATTGAAGTGTGTGGTGACTATAAATATTTAAATGAAATCTTCCCAGATAAGTGAATAGGCACAAATCATCCAATCAAGTGGCCTTTGGATGGCGCAATTTAAGTCCATTGGATTCTACTCACAAGAGATTGGAAAAAAAACTTCCACAAAACTTAAAAAAAAAAACTTTTTAATACCAGCTTCAAAGTTCATTTGTGCACTTGTTCGTTGATAAGTGAATTTCGTAAAAAAAATCGTTAATTTAATTTTGTCTGTATTTGTAAGTTTTGTAATTTTAAGACAAAATGTGAAATCCAATCATAGGAATGAAATTGTAATACACATTTTTTAAAGTCTTCTGACAATAGTCTTCTAGCTGTTTCAAGCAACTTTTATTTTTACTACGGTTGGTTGTCTAAAGTACAGCTGTGGACAATAAAAATTTTCCAGTATAATCTGGATTCGTTCCTTTATAAATCATGGTAAAAAGTAACATATTGTAAATTTAGTTATTTATGAGTGAAATTATCTTATTGTTAAATTCTGGGTAATTTATCACTCAAATTATTGTAGATATTACTCATTTCTAAACACAAAGTTGTGTACAAACAGATGCCGTTGGGACTTTGATGTCAAAGGAGTTTGAAAAAGATCAGTAAACTTTCAGTGGCATGATTTCCTTTTTTTTTTGCCAACTATGTTTCAATTTTTACATTTAAATGCTATCTTTATTTCATAATTATTATGACCTCGAAAATTTACTATTGTTTATTATAATCTCATTTGAAGTTTATAATATGTAAAAAATATAATTGTAAATTTAACGAGACGTTAAATAAAATGACTAACATTATTTAACAAAACAAGTAAAACGTAATTATAACATACAGGGTAGAGCAATTAAAATAGGCCACCTAAAATATTTGCAACAGGTTTTTCCGGAAAACCCCCAAACAGGTCGATTTTGCTTTCAAGGGGGACATCTTTTAATTATAAATTCATGGATATAGGGTCAACCCCCAAAACGGGGTCGCAACCCCTAAAAGAATCTTAAAAGCAAGCGAAGTTTTTTGTTCTGCCTTAAAATTGATGTAAAAAGCCTGTTGAAAGTGTCGGTTAAATAAATCGAAAAAAAGACTTAAAATAGTAATAAAAAACTCGTCGGATAATAATACTGTAAAAAATGAGGTTTATCACAGAAGTCTTGATAAGGTGATGGGTTTTATTAAAAATGTAGTGAGTGCGAGAGAGACGCAGTATACGGAGGCGACCAAGTACGTCCGAGAAACCCGGCTCACGCGCTTTATTAATAATACAAAAACAAGTCTTCAGAAAAAAAATTTTTTTTCTCAAAACTGAAAACATCATTGGAAACGACTATCTTTCCCCTTCAAAACGCATTTTTTTATTTGGAAAAAGCTCTATTTTTCGCGGAGATATCGTCAATTTAAGATGACCAGTATGGCTATATTATTACATCATGGCTAACCCCATAACACTGAGCGCTGCTAGCCCTAATTGTTAGGAACGTTAACCCCAAGCCCTATAACCCCACAACACTAAGCGGAGCGAGCCCTCATCGTCAGGAAGGTTAACTTCAAGCCCTATAACCCAATAACACTAAGCGCTGCGAGCCCTAATCGTCAGGAAGGTTAACCCCAAGCCCTATATGTCTGGAAGGTTAATCCCAAGCCCTATAACCCCACAACACTAAGCGCTGTGAGCCCTAATCGTCAGGAAGGTTAACTTCAAGCCCTATTACCCAATAACCCTTAATACCCATTAATTGTGTTATAGGTCGAGCCATGGTTTAATAAGGTAGCTATACTGATCATCTTTAATCGACGATATCTCCGCGAAAAATAAAGCTTTTTACAAATAAAAAAATGCGTTTTGAAGGGGAAAGATAGTAGTTTCCAATGATATTTTCAGTTTTGAGAAAAAAAATTTTTTTCGCCAAGTTACATAACCTTGAAAATAGCAAAAATACGTGTTTTTTGCACTTTTAGGTTAGAATATCTCGGAAACCTAGGGTGATGGATCAATTCTGAGGCCAGATTCGGATTCAGCGCGCCAAATGCCTTTGGAAACGTGTTGTCTGATCTCTGGAATTTTTTCCTTGTTGGCCTGTGTTATTAAAGAATTTTGGCAACATTAAAAATTGCAATTTTTAATATAGTTTATTTGAAAATGGTTAAAATCGCGTTTTTTCGAACTAAAAATCGTTAATATCTCGAAAAAGGTAGATTTTAGAGAAAAGTTGCATAGGAACTTATTTGTTCAGGAAACAATAAAAAATTACGAATTTGTTTAAAACAATTTTTGACCATTAGTAACGTCTGGCAACATGTGGATATGTTACAAAGGTCATTTTTTTAGTAAGATTATGAAAAAAATCGAATGAGAGTCATGTTCCTAGAGGGAGCAAAGATACAGCCTGGACTAAATATTGTACGGAATGTAACTTAAATGCCATGAGATTTGTTTTGCTAACGAACAGTTGAGTATTAATTGTATCGATTATTTCGGAATAATTGGGTGTGGACTCGTTTTAATAAGAAATTGTGTTGATTTTGAATGAAAATTTAGTTTCAGTTTCTTTTACGGTGTATTAGATTCATTTTTTAACCTCTTTAAATATTTTATGTTGGAGACATTCTTTTGTCCATAGCTGTACACAAAATTTTATTTCAAGTTGCACACTGGATCACTAGTTGTTAAAGATCGCTGCTTTAACTTACTGTAATGTAGTAGATATATTTTCTCAGGATCAACTTTTTTATAAATTTTAACGAGGACTTATTAAAATAACCTTTCTCAGGAAAAGAAAGTGATGACCTAATTTGGTCAATTAGTGAGCCACCCTAAAACTCGCTGTACGCCTACGACTTTATTCTGGCCTATAAATATTCAGATTACAATTTGATTGACATGGCACATGATCTGCATTGCAAATTTTGTACAACAATTAATTTTTTTATAATGTAGACCTACTCCGTTTTTAGATAAGCCGATAGCTCAAAGGTCGGAGGTCACTGCGTAAAAAAATAAAATATGTATAGAGCTAAGTAAAAAAAAAAACAATTTAAAATTAATTTGATGAGTTTTTTATACGGATCCATTAAAGCAGGCTATTTATTGCTGAAGGAATGTTTGCTGGTGAATTTAAAGGTTTTGAAAAACTCTTTGTCAAACAAGTATTTAATACGTAATACATGTTTTTATGTAGAGCAATAATTATGACATTACCAAAAAAATTGTCCTGGAGGAATTTGTGCCGTTGTTGTGTCAAATGAATTTGGAAGTTTAGAAAAATTTTTTCAAGAAAATATCTTCATACATTGGAAAAAGTGTTTAGTTTTAAATATTACGGTTATTTTTCTATTGTCTTATTTCTTGTAACTGTTGGATCTTACCATTGTCCCTCAACAATGCTTCTGCTGTAAACAAAGGGATCTTCAACATATCAGAAGTATCAACAAGTAGCTGGTCCTTAGCTTCTTGTAAATCCTGACTGCGCAGTCCACTATAAACTTCTTGGTCACTGATTATTTCGTCCTCATTTACCACATCAGCGTTATCTGCCTAAAAATTGATTTTCAAAAACTATTATGGGATTTTTTCGATATAAAGTAACAAAAGGTTAAGGGACAAGCCCTGGTAAGAAATGTCTTTAGCAAATTACTTACAAAAACCATTCTGCTTTCCAGTAATCTCGCTATGTCGTGGTGAGATCCTCTCATTGCTAGATCACAGGGTGTTAATTTGTCATTATTTTCCACAAAAAGTGGGGCACCGTGGGCCAGAAGTAACTCTACGCATCTCTTTAGACCTGTTTGTGCTGCCCAATGCAAAGCAGTGTTGCCTTCCTAAAACAAAATAACGAAAAGAAGAGGTAAAAAAAATGAAAATGGTAACACAATTATCGATAAAAAATAACAATGGCAACACTAAGTACAGAATTTATATATAGTATTGTAGCAAAAGTCGCTCTAGTGTGCTTTGCTTATGCTGTGCTATTGTCTCATGATGTTTCTAGAATATCTACTGTTTCTATCATGCTCTTAGAAGTTGAGATTGTTATATACTGGTCTTAGAAACCCATGGAAATTTCGAGAAATCACGAAAAATATATAAACGGCCGCGCAAATGCGCGCGGGGAGTTTTTGAAAGGTTTGGTCACATTTTCTTATCGGTCACAGTTTGTAAACTGTGTAATTAGATTGTGCTAAATAAAGGAAATTCGGTGCAAAATTGTGTCAGAAGTGGGATTATGTGGATTGTTAGTTTGAGAAGACTGTGAATGCCAGTGAGTACGAGACCTCAAGTAGCAAAAATGGACGAGTCACTGAAACAGATAATGGAAATGATGATGGTAATGAAGGCTGATATGAAGATAGGACAAGATGTATTAATATCTGACATGAGTCACTGAAACAGTTAATGGAAATGACGATGGTAATCAAAGCTGACATGAAAACAAAACAAGATGTATTAAGATCTGTTATAAAAATAGAACAAAATGCACTGGATGCATTAAAGTCTAATATGAAGACAAGACAGAATGCGTTAAGATCTGATATCTGACAGGAAACGATGCACTGGATGCAATAAGGTTTGATATGAAAACAGGATATGATGCTTTAAGAGAAATGAGGAATATGAAAGACGGAATCAAAAGTGAAATGAAAAATCAATTAGATGAACAAGCCAGTAAGATAAATAACATTAAGATAGAAATAGACAACCGGTTGGACAATGTAGATCACCGATTCGAAAATGTAGATCACAGATTTAACAACATAGAGAAATCAAGAAGAAAGAGATTACCATTATAAGAAAAGAAATAGAAGATATGAGGAAAGAATTTGAAACAGGACGTGATTCCATCATCTATTTGACAGTATATCGATGGAATGTAGAGAGAGATAATAGGCCAAGTGAGATGAAACTACTCTCACGTCACGTGACTTAGGGTATTTGCAGAATTATCACGCGAGATATGTTATATCCACTACATGGTATTAAGTGATGCGTATTTTACATACAGATTTGACAATATTTTTTTTATTGTCATGTTACTACCAAAAAAGAGTCAGTTTCATCATCAGAAATAGATTTTCTTTTTAAATCAATGTCCCGTGATTTGTATCCTAGGTCACGTCAATTAGAGCAAATCGCTGACGGTTTGGCAGTTCATGTTGGAACAGCTACAATATACAGAAAGTCGGCTTTAGCTTCATCCATAGAATAATGTCAAATCTATGGATTTCATGACATAAACTGTCAAAATTGAACAGGTTCGGCCAAAATTCATCAGTTTGATGCTCCAGCGAAAATTTACATACGGTAGGTGAGGGAAGACACAACAAATAAGTAAAACAATGTATAAGCACACTGGAAAGTCTTTCACTAGAGTATTTAGGTGTTCGTTTAAAAAATGATTAAATAAGGCCAAGCTATTAAAATAACAGAGGTGTTAGTATTTAATAAATTGTTTTTCACTCCACACAATCTTTGTTTATATCTAGATTGTCATATTTCCAAATATGACACCATATCTATTAATTTTCTCTTATCACTGCATTTTTCAATTGAGCGATCCCCGATCCCTGTTATAAATATAATGTCAAGGACTTGCGTTATCGATGTATTTATTTAATTTAAAAAACGTAAACAATAATATATCCAATTCGTTTAAATATATTTGCTATATTGAATAAATCATTTATATTTGACAACCGATTCATTAATTAACAATAAATGATAACAAATTATATTATTAGCAGCAAGCGAATATATCACAGCTGTATAATTTACGCGACAGCTAACAATCAGTCGAATTGTATCATATATTTTGTTCTTTCATATATGTGCATGTAATTACATTTTTTAAAGTATTTTTCATGGCGATTTCAACTTGAATTCTGAAATTATACATATGATTATACCCCATACTGGAAAATAAGTGTACATTGCTCTATAAATCTTTAACATAATCAACGAAAAAAGTTCCTGTCCAAAAACGCTTCGTTATAAAGATAAAAGGTTTCGAAACGTTTAAAAAATTCTGCATATGTTGAAATATATCTTCAAATGCCTGACTTAGATTGATAAAAACTTAGCCCAAAGACTGAACTTAACAAAACTTATGGGATAAAATTGCTTGGTTGGAACACAAATTTGTCTTCTAATGTCGGACATCTAGGGAAAGTCATTAAGTACCTAATTTTGGTTGATATTTGTAAGGAGAAAAAAAATCATTTTATACGAAAAAATGGATCAATTTTAATTATTTTTTTAAATTTAAAAGAAGTAAAGTTTGGCATAATACTTCATTAACAACCTGTATATTGATTTTAAGGCAATTCAATATTAAACTGATTGCTGCAAAATCTAGTTACCCTAAAATAGTATTCCTCTTCATTTCAGTTGTGCCAATAGCTTGATACCCTTTAAGTTGTGACTTTTGCAACAAAGAATGGCAGAATAATCTTTATAACATAATATAATATACGAAACACATGTACGAAAGCGCGACATTATTTATTACCTTGTCCTGTGCGGCGAGATCGACTTTTTCCCTGCCGCCGTTATTCAAAGAGACGCCCTTCCAATAAAGCAGGAGCTGGACGCACGCCGCTCTGCGTTCTTGAGCGCTGAAACTCTTTGTCTGGTTCAGCTGGCAGGCGCTGTGGAGGACCGTCTCGTTCAAGCCATTCTTCTTGTTGGGATTCCCACCCAGGTCGTTCAAGAACGTGCGGAGGAGGTGCTTCATACCTATGGAGCAGAGAATGCTGTTATAGTAATCGCGAAATGGAGTCGGGATAATTTTTATGGGATAATTCTTCTCATGAAGATATATTCTGGAATAGGACTATACTCCAAACGCGTGCACGGATTTTTAAAAGACTTAAAGAGGTCGTTTTTAGACATACAGATTTAGGGAACTATAGATCACGTCTTAACTAGGTGGTGTAGGAATACACACATGAAAAACTTGCTGGCCATAATAAATGAAGAATATAGATGATGACTCACACAGGTGTTGAAGAAAACGAAAAAGTTGGAAAAATGAGACTGTAGTACCGGAGACATTGACAAATAGTTCCAGAACTGGGTATTATATTCACGATATTATTTAGTACATAATTATTTGTGTATTTATGTATTGAATATTTTTTTATGGGATTCGTATAGATATTATCCTAACAATATTACAAAGTGGAGAAAAGATACTCGTATGTATAAAAGTACAGGTTAAGGTCAGTATTGTTGGTAGAAGAAATGATAGAGCATCTTTTCTTCAATAAAGTGTGATGGTGTGACATATTTTTCTACTTACTCTCAATGATTCTTTAAAAGGTGGAGAGAAGGTATTCATATCTGTCGAAGTACAGGTTGAGGTCAGTACGTTTGGTAGAAAAAAGTAAAGTGTGATGGTGTGATCTGCTTATTTTAAATAGGTAGGACATATTTTTCTACTTATTCTCAAGGATTTGTTAAAAGGTGGAGAAGTACAGGTTGAGATCAGTAATTTTGTTAGAAGAAATTATGGAGGAAAGCATATTTTCTTCAGTAGAGTGTGATAGTATGACCTGCTTATTTAAATAGATAGGGTATATTTTTCTATTTATCCTCAAGGATTTTTTAAAAGCTGAGGAGAAGGTGTCTGTATCTGTAGAGGTTGGGGCCAGTACTTTTGGTAGAAGAAATGATACAGGTAAGCATCTTTTCTCCATTAATGTGTAATGGTGATCTGCTTATTTTAAATAGGTAGAACATAGTTTTCTACTTATTTGTTAAAAGGTGGAGAGAAGGTACTCATATCTCTAGAAGTACAGGTTGAGGTCAGTAATTTTGTTAGAAGAAATGATGGAGGTAAGCATCTTTTTTCAATAAAGTGGGATATACTTATTTTAAATAGGTGGAACAAATGTTTCTACTTATTCTCAAGGATTTTTTAAAATGTAGGGAGAATGTATTCATATCTGTAGAAGCACAGGTTGAGGTCAGTACTTTTGATAGAAAGTATGATAAAGGTAAGCATCTTTTCTTCAGTAAAGTGTGATGGTGTGATTTTCTTATTTTAAATAGATAGGGCATATTTTTCTACATATCCTCAAAGATCTTGTTCTCAATGACATATTAAAATTGTTATATATTTTTTAAATTAAATAAAACAAAAAAATATTGAGTATTAAAGTAGGTAGGTAGGTATAGACATTATGATCCACATAAGTCACCCGGGACTAATACTAATTGACTTATTAAAAAATATAAGTATATTTTATTTTAAAAAATAGGAAATATAAAGGTTGTGGAGCGTATTATAAAATTTATTGCAGTTTTTGAAAAATTACCGTGTCATAAAAAAGTATATGGTAAAATTTTGTTGATGTTAAAAACACCAATACGGCACGCGCATAGATTGTGATATTGTTCTCAATTTTTACATTCATAATACAAATTTTGGAAAAAGTTATTGAAAAAGGTTGTTCAAAATGTTTTTTAACATTAAATTAATATAAAATTAAGTTTTTTCCGCCTTTCAGTGCCATGTATATCGGCGTATTCACAGAAGCTGTACAAATTTAGGCGAGTTTTGTATATACGATGATTCAGTCATATCATTAATTTTAACCACGTATTCGGAAAGACAGAAAATCGAAAAAAAATTTTACTGGACCTTTTAAAAAATAAGCAATTTGTTACTTTTGGATCACTAACCATATTACTACATCAGTATTTTTACATAAATATTACAATTTATAAATTAAAGAACATCTTTCTTTTGAAAATCCAACGGAAGCAAACAAAGACAAACATTTAAATCGAATGGAAGGAAATCAATATTTAAGTAATTTCTATATCGCTTCAGGTCTTGTTTTTATCTATAAGCCACCCAAAGCTAATTTTCACCAACCTAAATATTTTCCACTTTTCTTTCGTTCCAGTTTGTGGGTCGTAGTAGGTGAAGGGTTAGGAATATTCAGGTCACTGGATCCGCGTTATAGAGGTCGGTGTCTTATCAATTACCAAGACGTGTTGTATTTGTGGAGAAAGACTCTAGAAATAATTGGAACACTGTCGCCCTTTATCAGAAATTATTGCTTACCTAAGTGCTCGCTCAAGTACGGCTGAGTCGCAAGAAATATTCCTTTGATTTCCAGTAATTTTTAATTAAATCTTAAGCAACTTAATGAGTTGCAGAGTTGTACAGGTAAAAGGCTCTTTTGATGCATGCATAGGTGGCGCCACTTACTTCATAATGACTTAGTTGAGAGGGTTGGAAATATATTTTCCTTTGAAGCAGTCGTCCTTGAAAAATCGCTATTACCACTATAGAAGCGAAGAGTTTTCTTCACTGAATAGTCAGTGAACTTTTAAGCAAAGCTATTGGTTATTATGGGTGTAAATTATTTAGCAACACTGTCAAAGGAACTTGGATTGTACATTGAAAAAGAAGGAAAAATAAAGAAAATGTTTTAGTCGCTCTGCAGGAGAAATAAGAGGTAGTGGAGGATTGCAGAAGTATCTAAAGATCGAAAAAATTAGTATCTAATCAAAAGGCGTAAAAATTCTGGAATAATTAATGAACATACATTACAAAAGACAACGACAAAGTCTAGAGGAGGTTGTTGAATCAAACTGGCACTCAATTTTATGGCACGACGAAGGTCTCAACACCAAATGGATAAAGAAAGAAACCAACAGTAAAATCGTGATAAGGTGATAAGGTGGAACTTTAGAAAAAAACTAAATACAGAGAATCAAGAATTCCTCATCTGGTTGCATTTATACAATTTATGGATTCAAGGGATTAGGAACTAGATCAAGAGGAATCGCGAATATAATCAAAGCCAAGGAATTGTCAAAAAAATGGAACCTGTAAAGTAGATGATTACCAGATTATTAATTAACATCTTAGTGCCTCAATCACGTGACACCTGGGAATGATAATATTTAGACGAGAAACTACAATCAGTTCTCAGAAAAAATAGATATAGTGACAAATATATCGAATGAGGTATCAGTAAAATACTTAGAAGAAAATAATTAACGTATATATACAAAATGTACCTTTCCCAAATTGGAGTGAAGTTATCCACACATTTCCAGCCACGATTTATGACACATGGTACATTGAAGGTGGGATAGATGAAACCGCAGCTATGGGCGGGGCAAGACATGCGCATGCGCTGTGTGCGCAATAGACGCAGTATGTAACTAATTAATCATTCTACGGTGAACTCGGTGATATCAAATACGCCTATATAATTTACTCAATACATGGGTACAGCGAGTAACTAAATTAGTTAAATCACGACAGGATGTCTTTGAAATATTATAAATATAATAACGAATTAGCGTCATAAAAGAAAATTATTTTCTAGAGTTGTGTTTACGTTGCCAAGTGCACGCCCGGAAAATCTATAAATATAGACCACCAAGGCAAAACATTGTAACCAACATCAGCTCCGAGTAGCATCCCCCTGAATTATTTTAAATATAATAAGGAATTAGCGCCATAAAAGAATATTTTTTTCTCGAGTTGTGGGAACGGTGCCACATGCACGCTCGGAAAATCTATAAATATACACCCCGTACTACTACCCCACCAAAGGAAATGATTGTAACCAACACCAGATCCGAGTAGCATCCCCCTGAATTATTTTAAATATAATAAGGAATTAGCGCCATAA